CAAGGGCAGGAATAATATTTGAACTTCAGTGCAAATCCACATGTTTTTTTAAAGATATTTTATCAAATCAAGTTACATTTTTTTGATTCCAGTGGCTTTTTCTGTCGTGTTTCAAGATAAAAACACAAATTTCTATTGATTATGGAATTGAATAAGGTGTGTAGGGTATTGAGAAATGGCTACTAATTGTGTTTTTTTGATCTCAAACAGCTTGTTAGCTTGTTAGCTAGCTAAGACAAGTGGATATAGGCCATATACTTAAGAAGTGGACGTAGTCATGGTGACGTCACCCGTTGCAGCCTGCAGACACACGTGACGGAAGTTTACGGAAGTTGACCTTCCATATACGGTTCGTCCCAGAAGTCACCTAAAGTTATTGACATTTGAACACATTTTCGATTCTCCGTCAATTTTTGTCAAACTGCCGATATTGTAAATCTACACAGTTGATTTCTCGCCTCAAAACTTCTCAGAAGTGGATTTAAAGTTCTGTTGTTGGCCTCTAAATAATAAAACGGTTAGCATTAGGATCTATACTGTACTCTATATTAACGTCATCACGTTTTGTGCGTGTTGTCTTCCGGGACAAACCATATTTGGAAGTTCAACTTCCGTCACATCTGCGGGCTGCAGCTGGATATACTTGTTGAGTTTGGCCAATAGGGCGCTTCCATTTTGAGTTTTGGCACCGGACGTGACCATATTTGGACGAGACGGTGGAGCTAACGGCCGTGTGGGGAGCTAGCTAGCTTGCTTAGCTAGATGCATCTTTAATTCACGTTAACTGTCATTTTGATAACTTTGTCAGGCGACCAACAGGCTTAAAACTAAATGTACTCACCACAGAAAGTGAACAGACAACTCCTGACAAGCCTTTTTCGACGGCACTGGTTAAAGTTACACAGTGCCGTAACGACTTGTCAATCATAGATAATCCCGCCATAAAACATACTCTGCTTTATGGTGTATTTTCCTCTAAATGTTACCATAATTTACTAAATGAACATCATGCTGTGTTGAAGAAGACTTGAAACTAGCGACTGAGACCTTAAACTCATCAGCAAAGTGTTTACTGAGATAATAAATCAGCTGGGAAGTAGGGTCATTTTATTTTTAATGGAACTGGATTTCTTATAGACCCTTAAATGCAGTGGTGGACCAAGTACACACATCCTGTACTTGAGTAAAAGTACAGATACCCTTGCCAAATATTACTCCACTAAAAGTAGAAGTCTTCAATTTAAATTTCTGCTTGAATCAATGTACAAAAGTACCTCAAGTATCAAAAGTAAAAAGTACCTTTAGTATAGTGATGTTTGTCGGGGGTTGCTGACATGACAAGCAGATTTAATAAACAATCATGAAAATAGTTGCCAATAACATTTATGTCAATCAACTAATCGTTTCAGCTGTACTTGTATAAACTGCTGGGTAGTTTATTTTTATTTTTTTTAAAACTGTTTATATGTTCTATTTGTAAAAATCTTACTTTATAAAGTAACTGAAGCTGTCAGATAAATGTAGTGAAGTAAAAAGTACAATATTTCTGTCAGAGATGAAGCGGAGTAGAAGTAGAAAGTAGCATTAAAGAAAATACTCAAACAAAGTACAAATACCTCTAATTTGTACTTTAATATTTTCTTACAGTACTTAAGTAAATATACTTAATGATGAATCCTTAATGACCACCAAATCTTAAATGTATAGGAATTACTTTAATGGCATTTCAACCAAAAAATTATACCACTATTCCAAGTATTCTGAGTATTCTGAGTATCAAAAATGTACTTTTCCTAAATCATGTCAACAAAAATGTCTGTAAAGCAAATATTTTATATTTTGAACTTATTTCTAAATGATATTCAACTTATTTGAGATTTTCTTGTTTCGAGAGGTTGAGTCTAGTTTTTAGAAAATGTGTGAAGCAGAGTTTTAGACTTTTTTTAGACTCATTTTTCTATGAACTGTTAAAGGTAAATATATAAAATAATAAAATGCAACACTCTGGAGTTTTGCTGCGACAGCATTACTTGGCCTAGTATGACTAGTAGCTCATGGTGGCTAACGGTAGCTTGCTTTAGATAGATATTTTTGTGACATTTCTGTGTCAGTCTGCCGACTTTATAGCTCCTCTGTACTTCTGCAGTTGTTAAACTACATTTTTGCTTGATAAGGTTGCTTTAAAGCAACTGACTCAAGGATGTTGGAAAATTAAAGGTATGTAAATGTGCCGCTATCCAGAATCACCACTTGTGGCTGTTCAACAAAAAGTTTCTGCTGATAGTCTTGTTGGTTTCATGCCTAAAACCTCCTGTAGTCCACACATATAACCCGTTCTCACGCATGGTCAACACCCGTTGGCGTCAGTTTATAACACACTGGGGGAAACCCTGTAGCGTCACTTTTAACAGGTCAACATTGAATGTTCTTATTTAAGTTATGCAAGTAATGTTACTTAACTTACGTAACATAAGTGACATAAGTAACTATATTTTAACCCAAAGCATGATCTTTTCCTAAACCTAACCAAATGTTTCACAATGTTGACGACAAACCGTTTTAGAGCACTTTTACTTTGAAAGTCTAACCAGATGTTGCCTCTTTATTCATTACTAACTTGAATGCATGGCCCTAAAATAAAGGGATAACCAGGGCATTAAAAAGCGATGCCAAGGCTGTCTTTTTCAAGCGTCCATATGTGATTATTTGGGAGGGAGAACGTGCAGTTTATGTCCTACATACAAAATATCTTGTGCTGTGAGATGAGGCTGGACATTTTTTTTTTTTTTACAGTGCATCTATCGGTCTGCTCATTAGATACTCAATCACACCAAACTTCCCTCTGATTAGTCGGTGATGGTTATTAGAAGAGGTGACTGAGTGTGATGTGACTGATGACAGTGATGGACAGTCTGCAGGAAGGGGAGATCTTCTAGATACAGGCAGTTGTAGAGAGAGGAGAGGCGAGGAGGAAGGACAGGGATGAAGAGATAAGACTGGAGGGAGGGAAGGATGTGTGGGCGGAGGAGAGAGGGCAGAGATTAGTCATCATGTGGAGTTTGTGGACGGAGGCGGCGACGGATGGACGGAGGGAGACTCTCTCTCCGGAGGGAGACTCTCTCTCCGTCCATAGCAGCGTCTCAGCTTTCTATTTTAATGGAGATTCCCTCTATGATAGCTGCTGCACAGGCAGTTTGTCGTCGTGTAGTCGATACTCAGATGTCAGGCTTTTTTAAAAAGCAGATTGAGTTGACCTATCAGACGAGGCTGTGGTAGAGCAGAAAAGAGAGAGAGGAGTCTTCTTCTCATTTTTGTCTGTAACTGAGTCCTTTGTGTTTAAACAGGTGAGGAGTTTACATAGTGAAGTCATTCTCCTCAAAAGTGGACTGACATCACTAATTGCGGCTGGGCTGAAGTGTTTTAATCACCTACTTATCACTCATTTGTACTAATTTGTGTTTACAAACTAATTGGATGTCTTTGAACTCTAGGAACACAGCCATTGCAACACATTCTCACTCCCATCTCATGACATATGGACTCATATTGGCAATGTCTGGTTGGAATTTCAAAATAAAAGTACTTGTTAATGTTGCAAAACGAAGCAATTTTGAAATAGCGCGTTGTTAACATTGTAAAACATCACAATTTCGTTAGGTCTACGCAACCAAACTACTAGCTAAACTCACGGTTTAGCTTAAAATAACGTTACTTACGTGACTTAACTTACGCAAGTTTCGTCACGTTACCTTGCTAAGTTATGCAACTTAACGAATACAAAACACTCACTGAAGACTTTTTGTTTCACAAGGGAAACGAACGATGGCCTTTTGCTTGAAAGTCCGGTTTCTGGCACTCCCGTCCGCCCCAACCACCACCATACTCTGACTTTTTTGTTAAATATCTCACTGTTGCAACGCGTATGTTTGGTAGTATGACACCAAGAGTCATATACTACCAAACATAACTTACTGCAGAGCAAACATCAGTTTCTTTAATGAAAGTTGCCACGACTGAAATTCAGTGTGCAGATTTACAAGTGAGATGGCACCTCAATAATTGCCTACAACCCAGATTAATCTATAACTGAGTGTTAAAAACATATTTTATTACACAAATTATGATAAGGAGATTTTTACAGTGCAGCCTGTTTTTGAAATTTCTGCTCTGCTGCCCACTTCAGCCTCACCCAAATTAGTGTTGTAATCACTTTTGAGGCCTCTGACATCACTCCGGCAGCTTTACTGAAATCCAAACTGCCGCCTCTAACATCAGAGAGTGGAAACAATAATCAAAATGGAAATAAACGTACAAACAGCTTGAATGAAGGAAGTGAAATCACTGGGGGAGTGAGCGTTGTGCTACTACTGCAAGTGTGTTTTCTTATCACAGGATGCATGAATAATACACAGGATTATATAAATCCTTAATGAAAACCAACACACGCAGGCGTAAATAACCAGAACGCTGCACATCTGCTGCCATTTACTGCCTCGCAACAGATTTCATAGGACATGGGAAAAGGTCAACTGTATATTCTGATCACTTGGCAACACAACATTGATATCCAATGTAGCTGCCCGCTCTGGTTGGGGTTTCCCCAACATATGTCTACCTTTATTTGTGTCCTATAATAAACTTAATTCGTGTGGGATTTTAAAGATTGATGTTATTACAGTATTACAGCATTAAAAGGCAAAGTTCTGTTCTACTTGTAATCTGACAAAGTAGAGTTGAAAAAGGTAAAAACATAACTGAAATATAAAACTATTGCCTTGAAACATATTAACATAACTTAACATTGCCCAAAAATCTTTGTTTTATTAAATTCCAGTCAAGTAACAACATATTTCGGTGTAAAATTCTGGCATAAAAAGTTTGATGTTAAAGAAGGCTGGTTAGCTGAATACACAGACAGTATGTTTGTAGGGACACTGGTTGTTTCGCAGCTTCTTTTTAAATTGATGTTTCTCTGTGTGTTTTTGTTTTTGCTTGTGCAGGTTGTTTGTTTGAAAAGAAGCTCTGTCCGAGGGATCAGCTGTGCAACGATGGTGAGTGTTCGAGTTTTACATTTCCATCACAAAGTGTCCAAAGTCGAACCTGCTTTACCTGTTTTTACTTTCTGCTGTACTTCTGTAAACAGACTAATAAATCAAAATGGCTGCTGTAGGGATGAACCCTGCATTCAGAGCAGAGAGATGAAACAGAGTACAGAGTGATATTTAATATGCCGTGACCATATCAAACTCTATTCTGATTGACCAGAGGGCGATCATTACTTCCACTTAAGCGCTCAGCTTTGATGTAGCATCTTCAAAATCCTCACAGCTGGGAGGTTTCTGTGTACAATGATACGAATTCTTCTAATTGGAAAACCAGACAACATTTTTCCCACAGGGAGAGCTTTGATAGCTGTAAAAAAAAAAAAAAAACAAGACTGCATGAGGAGCAGCAGTGCTTTGAGATGAATGCTAATACGGTATGAATGTGAATGGAAATGCCATTAGTTTTGCAGATCTTTAAAACAAGGAATGGAACAAATTGAAATTGGCCTGCTGGTGGCGCTAGAGTAAAGGTTAGAGGATCACTAATGGCAACCTATCCAATAGTTGTTGAGACATTTCTGTTTGGAACAACATGGTTTACTGACCGTCCTTATTAGCTTCTGCACAATGTGTCGTGTTTCTGTGGAACCTTTATTATCCCATTAAGGAAGTTTTAGCAACTTTTAAAAACATAACATAAATCTTTCTTTTACAAATCAGAGGTTTAATGAATTCAAAAACATTAGATCATTTTAGTACACTAACCCTGTACCCTAATATGGTGGCTTTTGGTGGCTAATGTTAGCTAACGCTAGCAATCCTTAGCTAGACATTGCTGTAAATAACAATTAAGAGTCAGTTCATTAACTTTACCTCTACTAGTATTTACTGTTAGCCCATTAAAGGTTACATAAAGGTAGGTTCCTTTTAAATAAAGGTTCAGTTTATAGTATGACGCTAATCGTTTCTTTCTTTCTTACATCTGAAAGAGACAGAAAAGCACTCACTACATGCATTTTAGTCAGACAAATTGGGGAAATATTTATATATTATATTATATTTACTGGTTTTGACTTCTGCTGCCATCCCTGTGCGATGAAGGTCAATGGAATTTAATTTGAGTCATTTAAAACTATTTAAAAATGAGATTTGAGCAACAAGTCCACAAACCTCAGTGGATGTAGTTTTTATTGGGACTTTTATTGTGAAAGGTGAAACAATGTGAAACATATTGTTGTTAATTACCAATTTTATTCCTTTTAGTGATGTTACGTAACTTACGTAAGTAGCGTTATCTAACATATTGTCACATATTGTAACATCAAACCCAAACCATGATCTTTTCAAGTCGATGTTTTACAGCATTTTACAGCATTTTACAGTGTTAACCACGTGATGTTTCACTACACTAGTTTCATTTTGAAACTCTAACTGGACATTGCATATTTATTCTTGCTAACTTGACTGCTATTGAGCCCTACACTTATAACCCAGGGCATAAAAAAAAGCTACACCAAAGGGTGTTAAAGCGTTCATACTGTTTGTGATTTCCTGGGAGGAGAACGAGTTGAAAGTGCGGCCGTAGAGGTCGTCTGTGCGAGCAGACCCACATTTACGTTTATTGTTAGGTGGCAACCTCAAGTAGTTATTATGATGGGAGCAAAGGAGGAAGTCAGTGAGGTATATTATAAAAAACAACAAACACAACACTTTCACCCAGGAGGGCAAAAACCAAAGGTCAACGGTCTGATTTTAATTTCTGTGCTTACATTAACACACAATGTAACTGAACATATGTATGTAAATAAACTTTCTTATTTTAACCCAGAAGATCTTTTCCAAAATCTAACCAAGTAGTTTTGGGGCCTAAACCAAATCAAACTGTGACCATTTACCAACGTTAACCATGTGTTTGATATTACCATGACAAGGAAGGTCCTATTCGCCTGGTACACGCCACAGTCATATACTGTATGTTGTTTTAGCAAACAACCTATTCTGGCGTTTCAGTATTAGGGCACGGTGGTTTACAACAAGTAGGAAATATTTGTGATTTGGGTGAACTGACCCTTTAAAGCTATTACATCTATTGTAATCTCTTTCACACACTCAAGTTGGCGCTAAAGCACCTTAGATATCCTCCTCCGGAAGGCTGACGTGGACACTTTATTCCCCAGTAGGAAGCTCATATTAACGGTGCCCTGAATGCAACGTGATGAAAATAGTAAATACACTTACGGTGAGTAATCAATCCCAGCAGGCTCCAGGAGCTATGACGTGTCTTCTGTCCATCAAACAGTCAGGAGCTGGTTCGTCTGTAATCTCTTAGTGGGTTTCCTCCTTCCTTCCTGCCTGCTCAAACACGGTTAGGATTTCATTAGAAGAGCGTGCACGAGCGTGACCGTGCACCTGTGTGTCTCAGCCTTCAGAGACAGCTGCAATATTGATGGCGGCATGTTTTTGTGTCCGCCTTGAGGATGTTTTGTTCCCTGTTTCCAGGAGACGGGAACATTTGGGAAACATGAGCGGCATTCATAGTGAGGTCTCACGACAACGTGTGTGTGATGATGCTCTGAGAAAGCGCCTGTGCTGAACTCGTGAAAAGGGGCAATCTCAGACTGCATTACACACACAATGCATTTCATATTCTGAAATATCTGTAATCTTTGTTAAACCTCTGGAATATTTGTTTTACATCGGTTTTATTCTAGACTGCATTAAAATAACTGATTACTTTATGTCCTTGAACATCAGCAATAGTGAATATTTACATAAAGATATATAAATATAAATAAATCTAGACTGCGCATTAACTCTCCAACAAGTTTGCTTCAAAATTACATAAACTTAGTTCCAGACTTTGTTCAAAAACATTACATTTTGCAGCCTGAAACATGCATTAATAAAATGATCCATTTTGTGTCTTAGAACATCTGCAATTTGTGTTAAAACACTGTGATATTGAGCAAAATAAGTACATTCCTGACTGCATTAAAAAAACTGACAATTTAGTGTCCTTGAACATCAGTAATAGTAAATATTTGCATACAAACTCTATATATAAATATTAAAAAATGTCTAGACTGCACAAAAAAACGGCCCATCTGTTATTTGCGTTTAAACTCTGAAACAAATTGGTTTTAAAACATTACATTGTAACTGTAATCTGTGTTAAATCACATACCAGACTGCATTAAAAATAACATTCATTTTGTGCTTTAGAACACCTGCAATCTGTGTTATAACACTGTGATATTGAGCAAAATAAATACATTCCTGGCTGTATAAACAAAATAACCAAAGGCTGCATTAAAAAACAGTCTAGTTTGTGTTCTTAAACATCAGGAATCTGTGGATATTTAAGTAAAATAAATACATCCCAGACTGCAATGAAAAAATTACCTATTTTGTTTCTTTAAACATCTGTAATCTATATGCGTGAAAAATTTAAATTCAGCAGACGTAACTACTACATTTCAGTGTGCGCTTAGTCTCAGTCGTCATTTGAGTGTTGAAATGTGAGTGCGTGAAAACTGATTGGTTTCTCTATGAGATTCAAGACATAAAAGGGGGAAAGAGCGTCACAGAGAGGGAGAGAGTGAAAGAGACAAAGAAGAGTGCAACGTAAACAAGGTCTCCCTCCGTCAGCCGCTCTCTGCCAATGGCTGCTCGCCCCGGCCGTCTCTATGACAACAGTGACATCACTTGCCTGACGACTGTGTGTCTCCCTCGTGCGAGTGTGAGTGTTTGATGAGAGAAGGAGGGAGTAAGAGGTGATGACTCACCACAGCCCACGCACACGCACACACATTGCGCTTCACTGTGTCTACACGTGTGAAGTTGAGCGTGCATTTGGAGGCTCGTACACGTATTTGTGTACTATATATTGTTTGTGTACATTTTATTTAAACACCACCAGTCCATCTCATTGCACTTGTGCTTGTGTGTGTTTCCATTCACTATAATGTAGGAGGACGTGTAGCTTTGAGTGTCTACTTGCACATTTGTACATCATGTCAAGCTGCTATTCAGTCCAAGAATCAGATCTCAAAATATTATCTTGGTTCAAATAAAATATGTTCTCATGTATAGATACATAAATCTTTGTTTGTTTGTTTCTCTGTCTGCCTGACGTCCTACTTGGACACCAGTTTCAGGCTTTGACCCAGTGGACTGAGGACAGCTTTCACCTGCGTCCAGCGGATGCTAAGCTGCTTTGGGTTTTCACAGGGTTTATAGGATCAGTTTACCCAAATAAAAAATTCCGGTGCAGTGCTTCCCAATCGTGACCCTTTAAAATAATGAATGTGGAGGTAAATTAATCAATTATTTAATATTAAAAAGGCAAAGGTTAGAGAAAAAGGCAAGTAAGGAGGAACTCATTCCAGGCTTCAATATGAAAATGATCATTTTTGTGCCTTGAAATTTTTTTTATCTATTTAACCTTTATTTAACGGGAAGTCCCTTGGGATTGAAATCTCTTCTCCGAGGGAGACCTGGCCAAGACGGCACACCAGTTACAACTGAAATAAAAATAAACACATAGCCGACAGTGAAACAAACGTCACTTATAAAAAGAAAGGCAGGAAATACAGCTCACATGAGGTAGTTATATTTCTGAGATACACGGTGTTTCAACATGGCTTTAAATTCATGCAATGGGACTATATCATTTAGATGTAGTACATTTTGCAAAGTCCTGGGAGCAAAGTAAGAGAATGCTTTTTTCCCAGCTCAGTGAAAACTCTTGAAACCTGAAAAGAGAGACACCTGGTGGAACAGAGAGGAAAAACTGCTGGAATAACTTCTTCAGGATATTACATAAATAAACCGGCAGTTAACCCAGCATGGCCTTGTACACAAAAATATACAAATTCAATTGTTTTCGTCGACTTAGTGACAGCCAGTCTACCGGATTATAATGTGTACAGTGGTGAGAACTGGAACCAGAGTTACATTTATTCATTTAGCTGACGCTTTCATCCAAAGAAACTTACAATTGCTATATGAGCTTGCATTGAACAAACGATCCGCTTTGTTTCTTTAAACACGTGTAATGTGTTTTATCTAGTGTGGTTCTGAATCAAAAAATTAAGCATTTAATATTAGTATCTATATAAGGGAAAGTAATAAAAATAATTTGTGTTATAGAGGATTTTTGTCTTGTCTGGGTAATCATATTGCAACCCCTCGGATTGGTTTCATTTGGTTTAATTTGTGTTGAATTTGAGGCTGAAAACTTAGAGAAATATATCTCAGAATCTGCATAGATGGACAACACTAGAGCTAAGTGAGAAAGCAATTTAATTTATTTGTAATTTGGCATTTATAATTGGGATGTCCTGCTGTGGGTGACAAAAATGCTGCAGCCTTCTTGTCCATTTCAATCACACCGCTATGATGGCACAGTGGGGCTGCCGTTGCAGATGGCTCGGCAAAGAAAACTGAGCTGGTGGCTCAACTTTTGCTGCAATGCAGTCAAACATCATCCAAATAAAAAGTCTTGATTGTGTCTTGTGTAGCGTTGTACTGATTCTACTTATTTACTGTTAAAGCGTAGCGATGGAGGAGGAAAATAACTGACTCTGAGTCTCTGTGGTGCTGTTTTTAGTCTTCATTTTGTTTTTTAAATTCAGATCAGGATACAAATGAATGTAAACCTATAAACTGTCCTCATAGGTGAAACTTTGTGTGTGTCAGTGCTGCTCTGACCGGTTGGTCTCTTCCTGTACAGATGGCTTGTTCGGACAGTGCCGGGCTCCTCACCAGGAGCCAATCCAGTACCAGGTGTCTGTACCCGTCCTGCACAAGCTGCAGGAAGTCCTCAAAGACCTGATGGTGCAAGGTGAGTCTCTTTTACAGTGACGTTTACAGCTTCAGGTGAATTAGACTTTAATTTCCTCTCACCAGCGCAACAGGTGAGAAGTAGTAGTGAGATGTAAAATGGAAATGACATTTCTGTTCCCCCCGTGGCTGCGCAGGTCTGACGTGGAAGGACGACATCACGCAGGCGATCATCAGCCGGGAGTTGAGTCACGTCCCCACAGTCGGGTCCTCCTCCAGACTCCGTGAGAAGTCGCCCAAACAGTAAGACAAACCTCCGCTTATCAGTCCAGTACAGAACAACACAAACCAGTAGGATGTTAAATACACAAACTTCTACTTGTTTGATTTAGAAAAAAAAGGGGGGATTTTTTAAATGAGTGAATGTCTTTTTATGTGCCAGGTTGTCCAGACTGTCGGGCCCCAGTCAGAGGAGAGTTCAGGGGCCCGAGGGTCCAGCTAACTCAGAGTTGATGCAGCAGTATGTGGACTACATGATCCTCGACCCCTCCCAATCCTCCGTCCACATGCAGACGCCGCTGCTGGACCCTTACACCTACCACCAGGTGAGAATGACAAGGACACAAATACTGATGGACCATTTGTTGCCGACTTTTCATTATTAAATAATGCTGATATTAAATGTGATTCAGTACAGCTGATGGTTTAAGACTGCTGCTCTGATTAGATTCAGTGCATCTTTGTCCAAAATGTGTTAAATTATAAACTAACCGACTAAATGGATAGACATTAAAACAATATCAGGAACAAAAATGACCTCAAAAGTAAAGTCTCAGTCACTTCCTGTCTGATTTTGACAGAAACATGTCTTAATGTTGCGCAGTTTGAATACAGGAAAAGACATTGAAAGTTTACCTGATTACATTTTTAATATGCAGATGTGAAAACAGTATTTGAATGCCTTTGTAGTGGTTCCCAACCTGAGGTTGGACCCCCCCCCCCCCCCCCCCCCCCAGAGGGGTCACAGGATCAATCTGAGGGTCTGACAGATAAATAAATATATAAATAAATAAATAAATAAAAGAACAACTATCACACCTTCTGCACAAATTATTAAATGTTACTCACAAATATGGCAACTGCATCCAAAGTTTAGCCTTTTATCGTAAAACATTGCCTCAAATTCAGACTATTAAATCATTCCTCAAGCACAATAAATTATTTACATTTTATAAATAAAAACCTTTCATACATGTATTTATTCAAAATGTTGCAAATTAGACAAAGTAAGATAAACTTTGTCAAAAGCTTCCTAGAGGATTTTGAATTTTAAGATCATTTTCCTCAGAAAACTGGTCTTTGTTTTGCTAAAATTGGCTTTTAAAAAGGTTTTAAACAACTTAAATCAAATAAACCTGCCGCTATCATGAATGTAGACGTGACTATGACACCGAACGGAGCTTTTTACTCAGCAGTAAACAGCAGAGGAAGAAACTAATTGCTAAAGAAAGTGGAGCATTTAGCAGCTAAAGAGACTTGGTGGTGACCAAAACCAGAGCTAAAAGTTGAGTTGGACTTGGAAAAATCAGGCGGACACAAACACAGCTCCAATGGTCTGATCATGTTGCTCTGTGTCTGCTGGATGTGGAAGTAGTCACCTGTTTGCTAACACTTCACCTTGAACAGCTTTATAAAATCATAAAATGTGTGTCATTCATCCCCTAGTGGCTAAAATGTCTGTTGTATATGTCGTGTGTTGCAGCAGCAGTACGGCTACCAGGAGCAGGAGGAGCGCTCCCTCAACTCTCTGGACGATAATCCAGCCTTTCCGCTCCTCGCCTCCCCTGCTCGCTCCAGATCCCGAGGAAGCTCTCTGGACAGAGACCGCCAGCTTCTCCAGGACCTGGTTTCCTTTTACCTCACCTCCCCTTCTTCCTCCTCCTCCTCCTCCTCTTCTTCCTCCTCCTCCTCTTCCTCTCCTGTGCAGTCCTTCTCCCGCCACAGAGCGGCGGCAGCAGCAGCAGCAGCAGCAGGATTTCCCTCTTCACTGTCCTCCTCCTCATCTTCCTCCTCCTCCTCCTCCTCCTCCTCCTTCTTCCCGGAGCTGGACTTCCCCCTGGACTATGGTGAGGACTACATTTCCCAGGTGGCCCAGCTCAGTAAGCAGCAGCAGCAGCAGCAGCAGCAGCAGGAGCAGGCGGAGAAGAAGGAGCAGGAAGAGTACGACGCCCTGTCAGGACTGGATGGTGAGAGAGAAAATAAAGATGTGCAAACAGAAATTCTTACGTGTTACTGTGCTTTTACATTAATATAAAATAATGATCAAATTAATGTCACATTATCCAAGCAACTATGTGGAAGGAGAGTTTGGCTCTAACTACAAGTTTGTGTTTACAAAGGAAGGAAAGAGAAAAGAAAAATAGTCACAAAAGGAAGAAGGTTTTGATGGATTTTTTTCAATTCACTACGCTGGCGATAAAAGATTTTCACCCGACAACAGACTTATTTATTACATGTTGAATATAAAATCTGAGTCTTCTAAATTATGTCATTGATTTCAGCTGTCAGATATCTGCAGTCGAGCAGAGAGGAAGAAATGAAAAAGTGAGCAAGGGTGAAAAGTAGTGAAGGAATTAGAAGAGTTCTCCTTTCACAAGCTACCCAGCCGCATATAAACATATATATGTGTCATTAGCCACAGTTACCAGCTGCAATAATAAAGTTATGAATATATTAATGCACCAATATTAAATTATACATTATTCTGAAATAGGCCATTCTATATAACAACTACTTTTCCGTAGGTACTTTAAATAAATGTTGATGCTAATACTTCAGGTAGTGTAAATGCAGGACTACCACAGGTGTCATTTACAGGTGTCCCCGCCACTTTTTGAAATTGCTGATTTTGTCCCCATCCCTTTTTGAAAGCATTTGTCAAAAATGTTCTGAAAATACCTTGCACCAACAAAAGTAACTAATGAAAATGCTTTGAGAAAGGTTTATTTGCATAATAACAAAACACGCAATGCAATTTAAATATAGAAGAAACAAATGTCCAAAAAAAGTAACTTAAGCTAAAAAAATAAAAACCCAATCAGCTGATTACTGTAATATGTTTTATTTTTCTATTTATGAATTGTCACCTGCCAGCTGAACATTTCCACCATAAACTGGATCAGAAGATGTCTCCAGAATGCAGGAAATTAAGTGTTTAATGCTCCAATTTTCTGGGAGAGGAGACCAAATATATCACACATATATCAGCATTTCAGATTTCCTCAAAATAGTGTTAAACATCTTCTGGTTTTCTTCTCGCGCATCATCACTTCTGGTGATCAAAGTGCATCATCACACCCCTAATCTGAGCCCGTATGTCCCAAACACTTTTCAACACAAAGGACTGCTACTTCTTCCACTACTTCAAACATGTTTATCACATGTTAAATGCAAAAATCTGGAGTAGTGGAGTAAGAAGCCTCAGTATTTCCCTCTGATGGAGGAAGTCTCAAAAAATGGGAAGTAAAGTTCAGCCAGGATTTCTGAGCTCTGCATCTGTCTGTTTTTTACAGAGCGCTCTCTGCAGAGGTTGGCTCTGCTGCTCGACCACTACGGCCTCGACGTGAAGGATTTGTCCCCCGAGCAGAAAGACAACCTGCCGGCCGCCCTGAAGCAGCTCCAGCTGGAGAGCTCCTACGCCCACAAACAGACCAAAGGTTCGGTCTGCTCAGACGACAACGTCATCTGCTCATCTCTCGCTTGTTGCTGCTGCTGTTCAAGCAGAATACTGACACCTCAGTTAATAATAATCTGCCCTTTGTTTAATCCACTGTATATATATTTAGTTTATTTTATCTCACATGCACAAATTCAAGAAGCATAATTAAAGCGACTAAAATGGCCTAAAAATCTGCTGGTTTTTGTCTGTTGGTGTGAAAATGTGACAAATGTTAAGTTCAGTTAAATTTAATATAAATAACGGACTGATCCCGCTCTGTACCCAGGCCACAGCTGATTAAGTATTGTGTCTAAATACATTTAAGTCTCTTTTGTTGTTTGTGTTATTGATGATTATATTGTGTATTTGTTTACTATTCAGATAAATATGGAAACAATGCTGCCACAGGAAAAAAGGTGAGCATGTTACTTTTAACCACAAACATTTTTAACACTTCTTTATCAACAATAGTTTATTTGCAGGGGGGTATGTTTTTGACTGGTAGAAAATTTATTTAGACTATTTAGGAATTCAAATTTAATGTCCAGGTTTAAAAACAAGAAAAAAAAAACTCTTGAATCAAAAAGATAAATATGAAATGTACAGGTTGCAAAGTGAAAATATGTTCAGGTGTTAATTAAAGTTCAAGACAAGATTTGATTTATTCAGCCATGCTGAATATAAAATAAATACCAATAAAATAAAACCATATAAGTAGTAGAGAATCTGTTTAGCAGACCACCAGTCATATTGTGCTTTTTTGCTTTTTCCCTCTCCTTTATTGAGTCATATATCTTTTTTGTGTATGTAACAGGTTTCAGCAGAAAACTCTGCTCTGAACTGCCTGAAAACAGCTCGTTTGTAGTCCAGCCGCTTCCCTTTGATCACTGTGACGTCACAGCCTAGCGGCTAGTCAGACACGCCCTCAAAACCACCGGTGGAAAAACACACTGAGCTGCAGCACACAGCTCTCCTCTCCCTTCCAAACACTAGCTACCCTGCAGGCAGTCAGTGGACAGAAAGTTGTTACTGTGATGTAGAGACAGAGCTCAGCTAAAACTTTGTGGATGAAAGATACCACTTTAATTATTTTAGTTTGTACTGTTCACGTCGATTTTATCTAAGCAAAGGAGTAGGTTACTTTATTAAGTGATCATTTAGTGCAAAAAAGTTAACAAATCCATATGTCCTGTTTTGTCTGATCAACAGTCCAAAGATACTGAGATACTATCATACAAGACCAGGAAATATTCAGAGAAGCTAGTATCACTGCTTTATTTATTTATTTAGCTTTTTTTTTTTACTTTGAAATATAATTAATTAAAGTATTAATAAATATGTTAGTACAAATTATTATTGTTTGTCAAAATTGTTGCAGATAAATGTTCTCGTTTCAGATTATTGGTTGGTTTCTGGAGAAATAATGAAGCTGCCATTTACACTGGTGATCAATACTTGGTGTACTGAAGCTTCCCAAAATGTTATTAGACTGAAAAAGGCAACGTTTATGTACTCGATACATTAACAAGTTGAAATGCAGTGGTACAGTAAAGCACTTAAGAGAACATAGGCACAAAAAACCCCATGCTTGTTTTTTTCTCTCTCTTATGTCTTTGTTAATCTTTATCCATCAGATCACAGAGGGTTCGATGGCTTATAAGATGGTCCCCGAGGCTCCAACCTCCACCGTCAAAGCACCCAAACCAGAAGAAGGCCAGAAAGACACGACTCCCGCTTTAGCAGCCAACCAGGAACAACTGAGGCCTAACGAACCGGCGGCCAAGGCAGAGGAGTACGGCTACATCGTCACCAATCAGAGGTACAGTAGGCGTATTTCCTCCATGTGGTTCGACCAATCAGGACGACTGGATGTGTTTGAGTGAATGAATGTGTCGAGTTGTGGAGGTTTTTCTACCGTTTTCATGTTTGGACTGGAGTTTGTGTGTGGACGGAAAATTAAAGGCATCAGAAGACGAACTATTCACTAACTATTCAGCAGAAAAAATTACTGCGAAAGTAACAAACAAATAAACAAGGAAAGAAAGAAAGAAAGTAACAAACAAATAAACAAGGAAAGAAAGAAAGAAAGAAAAAAGAAAGAAGAAAGAAAGAAAGTAACAAATAAATAAACAAGGAAAGAAAGAAAGAATGAAAGAAAGGAAGAAAGAAAGACAAAAAGGAAGAAAAAAGATAAAGAAAGGAAGAAACACAGAAAGAAAGTAACAAACAAATAAACAAGGAAAGAAAGAAAGAAAGAAAGGAAGGAAGAAAAAAGATAGAAAGAAAGAAAAAAGAAAGAAAGGAAGAAACAGAAAGAAATTAACAAACAAATAAACAAGAAAAGAAAGAAAGACAGAAGAAACACACAAAGAAAGTAACAAACAAATAAACAAGGAAAGAAAGAAAGAAAGAAACACACAAAGAAAGTAACAAACAAATAAACAAGGAAAGAAAGAAAGAAAGAAAGGAAGAAACACAGAAAGAAAGTAACAACAAATAAACAAGGAAAGAAAGAAAGAAAGAAGAAAGAAAGGAAGGAAGAAAAAAGATAGAAAGAAGAAAAGAAAGAAAGGAAGAAACAGAAAGAAATTAACAAACAAATAAACAAGAAAAAAGAAAGAAAGACAGAAAGAAACACACAAAGAAAGTAACAAACAAATAAACAAGGAAAGAAAGAAAAAAAGAAACACACAAAGAAAGTAACAAACAAATAAACAAGGAAAGAAAGAAAGAAAGAAAGAAAGAAAGAAAGAAACACACAAAGAAAGTAACAAACAAATAAACAAGGAAAGAAGAAAGAAAGAAAGAAGAAAAAGAAATAAAGAAAGACAAAAAGAAAGAAAGAAAGTAACAAACAAATAAACAAGGAAGAAGAAAGAAAGAAAGAAAGAAAGTAACAAACAAATAAACAAGGAAAGAAAGAAAGAAAAAGAAAGAAAAAAAGAAAGAAAGTAACAAACAAATAAACAAGGAAAGAAAGAAAGAAAGAAAGAAAGTAACAAACAAATAAACAAGGAAAGAAAGAAGAAGAAAGAAAGAAATAAACACAGAAAGAAAGTAACAAACAAATAAACAAGGAAAGAAGAAAGATAGAAAGAAAGAAACACAGAAAGAAAGTAACAAACAAATAAACAAGGAAAGAAAGAAAGAAAGAAAGAAAAAGAAAGAAAGAAAGAAAGAAGAAAGAAAGTAACAAACAAATAAACAAGGAAAGAAAGAAAGAAACACAGAAAGAAAGTAACAAACAAATAAACAAGGAAAGAAAGAAAGATAGAAAGAAAGAAACACAGAAAGAAAGTAACAAACAAATAAACAAGGAAAGAAAGAAAGAAAGAAAGAAAGAAAGAAAGAAAGAAAGAAAGAAAGTAACAAACAAATAACAAGGAAAGAAAGAAAGAAACACAGAAAGAAAGTAACAAACAAATAAACAAGGAAAGAAAGAAAGATAGAAAGAAAGAAACACAGAAGAAGTAACAAACAAATAAACAAGGAAAGAAAGAAAGAAAGAAAGAAAGAAAGAAAGAAGAAAGAAAGTAACAAACAAATAAACAAGGAAAGAAAGAAAGAAACACAGAAAGAAAGTAACAAACAAATAAACAAGGAAAGAAGAAAGATAGAAAGAAGAAACACAGAAAGAAAGTAACAAACAAATAAACAAGGAAGAAAGAAAGAAAGAAAGAAAGAAAGAAGAAAGAAAGAAAGAAAAAAGAAAAAAAAGTAACAAACAAATAAACAGGAAAGAAAGAAAGAAACACAGAAAGAAAGTAACAAACAAATAAACAAGGAAAGAAAGAAAGAAACACAGAAAGAAAGTAACAAACAAATAAACAAGGAAAGAAAGAAAGAAAGAAAGAAGAAAGAAAGAAAGAAAGAAAGAAAGAAAGAAAGAAAGAAAGAAAGAAAGAAAGAAGACCGATAAAAAAAAGGTGGGAGAAACAGAACAACAGCAGAAAGACTGAAAGTAGGAAAGAAGAAAATAAAGTGAAAGAAACAAAGTTAAGATGCAACAAAATGTAAAAGGAGGAAGGAAAGAATGACGGAGAGAAGGAAATGAGGAAAGACAGTTAAAGAAAAAGAAGTAAAAGTAAGGACATACAGAAGGAGGACAGAACGAGAGAAAAAGAAAAGTAAACAAAGGGAATGAAAGGAAGATATGATGAGAGCAAAGGGGAAGGACAGCAGGAAAGAGAGAAAGTAAAAGGAATTAAATAAGAAAAGAGTAAAGTAAAATATAGGAATCAAAGAAAGATTTATTTATTTTTATTTATGTAATTGCTTTTTGGAATTTTTTGGTCACTCAGTTAAAGTTAAAGATCAGGAAGGAAAGAAGAAAAAGTAAGGAAGGTAAATGAACAGCTGAAGGAAGAAACAGAGAAGAGTAGAAACTGATGGAAGAAAAGTAATAAGAGAAGGAAGTGAGAGAAACCAGGTGTGTGTGTGTGTGTGTGTGTGTGTGTGTGTGTGTGTGTGTGTGTGTGTGTGTGTGTGTGTGTGTGTGTGTGTGTGTGTGTGTGTGTGTGTGTGTGTGTGTGTGTGTGTGTGTGTGTCTGTGTGTGTGTGTATGTGTATGTGTGTGTATGTGTGTGTGTGTGTGTGCGTGTCTGTGTGTCTGTGTGTGTGTGTGTCTGTGTGTGTGTGTGTATGTGTGTGTGTGTGTGTCTGTGTGTGTGTGTCTGTGTGTGTGTGTGTCTGTGTGTGTGTGTGTGTGTGTGTGTGTGTGTCTGTGTGTGTGTGTGTGTGTGTGTGTGTGTGTGTGTCTGTGTGTGTGTGTGTGTGTGTGTGTGTGTGTGTCTGTGTGTGTGTGTGTGTGTGTGTGTGTGTGTGTGTGTGTGTGTGTGTGTGTCTGTGTGTGTGTGTGTGTGTGTCTGTGTGTGTGTGTGTGTGTGTGTGTGTGTGTGTGTGTGTGTGTGTTTGTGTGTGTGTGTGTGTGTTTGTGTGTGTGTGTCTGTGTGTGTGTGTGTGTGTGTGTGTGTGTGTGTGTGTGTGTGTGTGTGTGTGTCTGTGTGTGTGTGTGTGTGTGTGTCTGTGTGTGTGTGTGTGTGTGTGTGTGTGTGTGTGTATGTGTGTGTGTATGTCTCTGTGTGTGTGTGTCTCTGTGTGTGTGTGTGTGTGTGTGTGTGTGTGTGTGTGTGTGTGTGTATGTACGTGTGTGTTTGTGTGTGTGAATGTGTGCGTTTTGTCACCGCAGCCCCCTCAGTCTGAACGACGGGGTGCGTCTGTTGGAGCGTCTGTCAGAGAGGATCGGCCTCTCCACCGGCGCCTTCATCAACATCAGGTAGGACCGAGGACGCCGGCGGCCCTGAACCCTCACTAACATATGTGAAACACCTCCGATGCCTCTGGAGCCTCCTGAGCACGTTTGGTGGATCCCTGACTTTTATTTCATGGGGTTAACCTAAATCTTTGGCCCTGACGCTGAGACATAAAAGCGTGTGGAGCTGAGCAGCATGGTGCTGGTTTCTGCATGATTTTATTCTGCTTACCTTTTCCCTGCTTGGACTAACCTTTGCACCTGACACTGACCCCTGACTTTTGACCTAAAACTTTCTCCACCTTATCAAGTTGTTTTGGTCTGAAAGTCTTTATTCAAGTCCTCATAGCTCCCATAAAGTGGCTGCTAGTCGTCCACACAGAGTAAGAATAAATAAATAATCTAAAAATACAAGTCATGTTTGTGTGAAGAGGAAAAGAAAAGAGTTCAAATCCCACATTATCAAACTGAAAGAAAATAGGGGATCTGATTTTACAAGTAAAATATTGTGTTTTTAATTCTATTATATCATTAAGTTATTTTATATTAGATTATTATATCAATATATTATTTTATTTTATATTATTATATCATTGTGTTCTTTTATTATATAATAAATATGTAATTACGTTGGTAAAAACATAATATTATGTTAATGTATATATATAATCATACAAAAACTGCCAAAAAGAAAAGAAAAAATATGAAAAACAAGAAGTGAATAAATAACTTGATGTGATTAATAATAGTCTTTATGGAGCCGACGTAAATTACAATTAACTGCAATCAATTTCCATTAAATTCAGACGTAAAAAAAAAAAAAGAAGATCATTGTGAAGCTAAAAAATGTAAACAATAATCCTAAAATTACAGAACACACCAAGAATAAAAGATTATGAAAAACGTCCCAAACAATGAAAACTGAATCCTGAGATAAGGAATAAAAAATACTTTAGAATATCCATGAAACAAGTTGATTTGAAGTAAGAACACTGAAATATTGTTGTTGCTCTGACAGATGTTTTCACCTGTCACAAGACAATAAAACGGAATGAAACCACTTAATTACAGAAAAAACAATGCGTTGCTAAGATGAGGTGGAGATTTTTGCAGTGAAGAAACCAGAATAAAACATCTGCTGATGAAGCTGGGTCTAGTTCCGCTTCACTGTTCATGTTTAATATTTCAGTTATTCATCCAGAGTTATAAAAACACAGCCGAACAAGTTTAAAACACAATATGTTTGAATACATGAAGCAGAAAGCCAGAGTTTTCTCTGTAAAACCACAGGTAGAGGAAGTATTTAGATCCTTTACTCAAGTAAAAGTACTAACACCACAAAATGCACCAAAATATGTGAAACTCCTGCATTGAAATTGCTTTTTTAAGTAAAAGCATTTACACTAGACTTAAAGTATTCCAAGTTAAAGTATTTAATGCTTAAAATTAAAAATAAAAACTATTAAAGATAAATTTAAATAATTTACAGCAAACATTTGAGAAGCTGGATGCCAATTAATTTTCTGTCAATCGACTAATCGTTTCAGCTGCATGTGTAGTTTAATCCAAAAGAAAGCGCCACATATTAAAAGCTCTTCATATGTTTGGATGTACATATATTTATATTTATTAAAAATGGCTTCATTTGTTAAGCTAATAACAAAAGCTGTAAACTAAATAGAAAAAGAACAATATTGACAGTTTAGAGTAGAAGTACAAAGTGGCATGAAAAGAATATGCTCAAGTAAAGTACAAGTACCTCAGATGTGTACTTAAGTACACTACTTGAGTACTGAGTTCGGCTTTGGATCTGCTCTTGTGTTTCCTGCAGCGTGGTCGGACCTGCGATCACCTTCAGGATCAGACCGAACTCCAAGAACCTGACGGCTGGAGATGTGGCAGAGAAGGCGGGTACGTCACCTGGTGGTTTATCGATTTCAACAGTTAAAAAACAGACACAGCAGGAACACAATACTTCAAATACTACCCACACATAGTCCTTCAAGTACTCCAGGTTTGGGAGCTGAAATATGCACGTGTCAGTGTGTTTTTCAATGTTTTATTTTTGCAGTTGCAGAGAAGAACTTTCTGGAGTCTGAGACGGGCCTGAAGGTGCTGCAGGGCGGTGTCGGAGAGGTGGGTGCGCTTGTGTTTGATACCTGAGGCGTGCAAGGAAGAAGAAGTGAGAGAAGGAGAAAGGCAGCAGAGAGGGTTTAGCGTGAAAGCTGCAGGAGCAGTGAGGGATAAAGACCAAATTAGATCCAGTTGTGACGGGGATGAGCGGAGGGATGAAGGTTAGAGAGGAGGAAATGAGGGCGCAGACTCTACTCTCTTTGTGTGTGTGTGTAGTAGTAGTAGTAGTAGTATTGTAATATTGATGTAGCTGGTAAAAGTAGCAAAAGTCTACCACAGTATAGAAATACTTAAGCACAATTCCTGCATTCAAAAGTAAAAGTACTCAAAGATGCAGGATGGCCCATTTTTAGAATAATATATTATACTATTGGATTGTAATTATAGTAGTAGTTAGTAGTAGAAGTGGCTACCCCTGCTGCTACTATTACTATGTCAGTGGTGGTAGAAGTACTTATATCTCAGTATAAGCTACAATGTAAAAGTAGTGTAGAAATACTCAAGTTACCAAATAAACAAAGTGGAGTATAATATGTGCCTCTAAAATGTAGTGGAGTAAAAGTATAAAGTGGAAAAACTCAATTAAAGTACAGGTACTTCAAAACTGTACTTGAGTAAATGTACTAATTTACTCTCCATCATTTTTGAAAAAGATGATAATCTGGAAAAGCATCTTTCAAAAAACTTCAGAGCAGTTTTTTTTAACACACTTTTATTTTGAAAGTCAGTCCTGGAAGTCCAGTTGGTTTGAATTTATTTTAACTTGACAGTCTTGATTTTTCCGGAGCCCCATGTGAGTTTAGCAGGACGTCAGGAAAGTTGCTCCGCATCGTGTGTTTGGTGAGTGAAAACAGAAAAATCAGCTCATTAACACTTTATTATTATTATTGTTAAAGTAGTTTATCTATCGAGCAGTAAAGTTGAGTGAACACTTTATGCTCATTGATCACGTGTGTCACACAGTAGCCTTATAAAGATGATTTAATAACATGTTGATAGAGATCTATATGCACTTTCAATTCTTCATCTCTATATAATGTTGCAGCACTATCAGGGTGTCTGAACACTTAATAACATGTTTATAGTGACATTAATGTACTTTTTATTATCTATGGTCTGGATCATAATCTTAATAACAATATATTCCCTTGTGTACTCATTGGCCAGTTAATAAGATGTTTTATCATGTAATATTTTTGTACTTAAACTCATTTATGTCACTTATTATATTACGTATATAATGCCCCTGTAATATTCCTACAGTATAAGGATGTATCATCTCTACAGTCAGTTTAAAGTGACATTTGTGTTCTTTATACCACTTAATGTATTTGTTTAATATTTCTAAAATATATGTCTTATAGTACAATGAAGTATTTCCCTGATTAATGTTATATTTTATCATCATATCTGTAGGCCTGTAATGCTATTATATATATTGAATTGTAATGCACGTGTAGCTGTGAGTGAGTTTTACTGCAGTTTTACTGTATTTTTCCGTGTATTACCTGAGCACAGAAGCATGAATACTTTATATCGTAAGGTTTCTGCAACTCTTGTCTGTTGTCTGACAACTTTTTCTGACATGCTTAAGGAACTTTTCAGCTGTTGTGCGGCCTCTTTAAATGATTTATTCTTGCATTATAAGCAGCGATGCGGCTTGTAGTACCACGAATTAAAGTAAGGAGAAGAGGTTCTTCTAAAAAGCCTAAAGCAGTGAACCTCTTTAAATCCACTTGTGTCCTCCAGCCACATGTAGCCGGTCATCCATTTTCTTTTTTTCTCTTCTGTTTCACACACTGAAGCCCACTGGGGCCCCTTCATAATAGCAGGTGAAGTAGCCTTTCTACCCCCCTGAGCTCAAACTTTAATGTGTTTCAGACACCACACACACACACACTGAGAGAGAGAGAGCGCCTCACATTCCTGAGGCCCACAGGGAGGAAGGAAGGAGGAGGTCAGGAAGGTCAAGAGAGACAATTCATCCAGGGGGAAAGAGGGAGGGGAAGAAAAGAGAATGGAGGGAGGAAGAAAGGAAAAAGGATGATGAAAAGGAGGGGGAGAGACAGTCGGGGAGTGACAAGGGGAACAAAGAAGATAAAAGGATGGAGGAGAGGAGGGAAGGAGAGGAGGGAAGACGAAAGTAAGGTAGGCAAGAGGGGGAGACTGCTTTCGCTGTTCCTTGATCTTCAAGAGGTTAAGGAAATATGTGGAGGAGAAATCATGGGAGAATCTGACTGTACTTACACTAGACTTTAAAAAATAACATCTTTATTTGCAACACAAGGAAGATACACCGATCAGCCATCGCCTGGAAGCACTGAAGCCCGTCTCCTTAGCATTTAGAGAACTCGACCAGCTCTTATCACAGCTGCCACCTGATACCGATCATTTCACTCAGTTAGGAACCTTCCTAAACAAAAAAAAAGACCACAGCCCAGGTCTTACAAAAAAACCCCACAGGTGAAATAGTGAGAAACCACATTGACATTTATAACATGCGAAATGTGTTTCACAGAGGATATTAGCCTATATGTGACATTGTTGTTTTCACGTGCAAAACATGAACAAAACCATGTGTGCTGTTATGATGTAAATTTATCAAATACGTAACTTTTACATGCTAAATAAATAACTACGTAGCTACAGTACATATACAACCATACATTTCTATTTACAAATAAAGAAATAAAATAGAATAAACAAAAAAGTCACGAATGAAGCAAACCTTAATGCAAGAAATCATTTTTTAACCTCAACAGCTGCTCTAAATCCTAATGAAGGTGGTTTAACCTAAAAAAAAAAGACCCACACACACACTGTAGTCCTGCATGTTGCAGCACTGAGGCACATTTTTGTCCCAGGTTCCCGCTGAGATGGATGGGAAGACATTAAAGAAGAAACACCTCCTCCTCCTCCTGCTCACACTTTCTTTTATTCAGCTGTCCACCTCGTTAGCTAACTGGGTGCACAGAAAGCAGATTCATTTTCTTTCCTGCTCCACAGAGGAATGATGGGAAAGCGCTGCCCGTGGCGACCCGAGTCCAGCCCGGCTCCCGCGTGGTGTTCTCCACGCTGGTGGCCATGGCCTGCATTGGCGGCATCCTGGTGGCGGCCATGACCATCGCCTGCCTGCGCCACCACGCCCACCGGCTGGCAGCGAAGAAGCTGGGTCTGGGACCAGAGGGGGGCAGCTTCAGCCACCAGGAGTACCAGGTGAGGAGAGAGAGAGAAGTTACAGCTCTTAAAAAGCACATTTAAATCAAACAATAAAGGACAAGTAATCATTTACTACATGTAATACACGATCATGGGGTTTAAAGGTCCAGTGTGTAATATTTAGGAGCATCCGTTAACAGAAATGCAATATAAAATCCATAACTATGTTTTCAGAGGTGTATAAAGACTTGATGAACCGTTAAGTTTTTATTACCTTAGAATGAGACATTTGTATCCACATACGTCCTCTTACATGGAAGTCCACATGTTGTGGCCCACAAGTAGCCCAAACGGAGCGTTGAATACGTACGAAGAAAAAGAAGTGTTAGTACTAGTAGTCGTCGTCGTCTGGTTTATTAGAGACGACAGAGCAGTATATAAATATCTAAGAAGGCTTTGCCAGAGGTTCTCTCTATTATATAAAGATATTAAAAGAGGACCACGACAGTTTTCACAGCCTTTTTGTTGTTGGATTTAGAAATTAAAATGAAATAAGACATTGTAGATGCCTGCGTGTTGTTTAAACGCTCTGATAATGCTAATCCAACACATCTTTGTAGTGGCGTCCATGTTGATTCCACATTCAGACTTAAGAGCACTTGAACACACCCTGAAGTCTGAAGAACGACTTCACAACTCGGGAAATGGGACCATCTGAGGAGCACGTGAATGCACCGTGGGCCACTGGTTGCAGTTCATAACCCTCACCTCTAGATGTCGCTAAAACGTACACACTGAACCTTTAAGAGCTGTCAGATTGGAGATTAACTAAATACAGTGAACGTCTCTGCAGGGTTAGGCGTTATAAATTTTATTTATTTGACTTTTCGTTTGTTACAATGCCTAAAATATAATGTGTGTGCGGAAGTAACATAGATGACACACTGCAAAGCTGACATATATCAGAGACTAGTTGGTGAACATAGTGGAGCATTTAGCAGCTGAAGAGCCAGATATTTACCTCAGGAGGTGGTAGAGATCAAAATAATAAGATATTATTATATTATTATTATATTGCATTCATGAGGTAGACACAGAAACAACTCCAAACTACTGCTAATATGAATGTTATAAGGTGATAATGTGTCAGCTTGTGGAAATGCTCCCAAATAGCTTTAAAATGAGTCTGTGCAGGTTTAAAGAACATTATAAAAACGCAATATTTAAAATAATGTTATTAAAATAAACACAACAAAAGACATTAAATAAGTATAAAACATATAAAAAGCTCTGTGAAAAACCCAGAAACTAAATAAAGCAGTGTAACAACACGATACATACATAACTGGCTCACCAGGACCTGTGTCGCCAGCACATGGCCTCCAAAGGAGCCTTCGGACGCATGGAAGCCGCTGCCCTCGGCGCCGTGGGAGGTGCGAGCGGAGGAGGAGGAGGAGGAGGAGGAGGAGGAGGAGGAGGAGGAGGAGGAGGAGGAGGTGGAGGTGGTGGTGGTGGAGGAGGAGGGGGTGCTGGTGTCGGGGGAGGAGAGCAGGAGCAGCGGGAGGAGGAGGTGCAGACTCGAGGGTGAGCAGCGTGTCGTCCCAGTTCAGCGACGGAGCCCAGCCCAGTCCGAGCTCCCACAGCAGCACGCCGTCATGGTGCGAGGAGCCGGCGCAGGCCAACATGGACATCTCCACCGGTCACATGATACTGGTCAGTGCCACGCAGCGTGTGTTTGTCATGTGATCACTCTGAGGAGGCGCTGACTGATGTTTCAGGTCTAAAGATGTCCGGAGGATAGAAGGCTGAAAAACTATTTCACAAACACAATTTAAATTTAGTTTTTCTGTTGAATTACTAAATAATTGTACCTCCACAGTAAATACTGAAGACATACGCAGCCTGTAACAACACATTTACAAACACATTCACTATTTCAACCAAATTCAAGCAGAGTTTTATTATGTTTTACCTCTTTTGAGCTGCAAATCACTAAATCAACGCTAACTGGATTCCTTAAGAAAATATTTAGGACCAGTTCACCCGGACTGCTCATTTATTCATGCAGTAGTGCAAACAATTTAAGGATTAACCGTGTTTTAAAGTTCATTCTTGACCTTGGAAACAGTAGTGTGTTCAATCTATCAAAGTCAAACATGAAAAATTACCATGAAAATGTCCTTTTCTACTTTTACAAACAAGCTCAAATCAGCAAGTAGTTCAAATTTCTAAAGTCTGATTTAAAAGTCGATTTTACTTTCAGTTTTGGGAGACTGGACAGATAATTGGCTTTAAAATGTTTAAGGGGAATTCATGAGAAATTGACCTTCAAAGATGGACAAAATATTTATATGAATATTGAAAATGTTAAAATGTTTTGTTTCTTTTCTTTTGTTGTTGTTCTGACTTTCAAAAGAAAGTCTAATGTAGTTTAAGTTTCAAACACCTTTTACCTGCTGAGAAATGTGCAGCAGGAGAGGAACTTTAGAAAGAAAGAACTTTATACAATATATAAGTTTTTAACAAGTTTACAAAGTGCTCAACAAATAGATAGTTTGTATTCATTTGTATTACAAACAGCAGTCTTAGGAATATTTTTACAGCAGCAGTGGCTTGCTAACACCCCTCAGGCCTACATGGAGGACCACCTGAGGAACAAGGACCGTCTGATGAAGGAGTGGGAGGCTCTGTGCTCCTACCAGGCCGAGCCCAGCGCCGTCTCTGTGGCTCAGAGCGACGCCAACGCCAAGAAGAACCGCTGCCCCGACTCCGTGCCCTGTGAGTCCCAACAGCTGCTTCGCTTCCAGTCCCACCGATGATTGATTTAAAACCTTTTAACAGCATGTCACACGTCAGATCCCAGATTTTCAGGGCCGACTTTAGGGAGAAATGTGTCTAAAATGATGCACGAGACATCTAGAATATCAATGAAGCACAAATTTATGTGTTATGAAGTCAGACGGGCTGGAATAGGATGATTTTAACGACCTTAAAGCTTCTTGAGGGAAAATAAAAGGGGGCATGTTAAATAAATAAAGGAGTTAAATGTCACTGTTGTCCTTCAGATGACCACTCGAGGGTGAAGCTGAAGGCGGAGGTCAACCCGTCACGCTCTGACTACATCAACGCCAGCACCATAGTAAGTCTGTGGTGGTCACCATGGTAACCACATTATTCCTCTGGGAGAGCTCATGTTTGACCCGCTGTTGTTGAAGAAACGTGATCCGCGGGAGGGGAATTAAAGCCCTTCTTGTTTTTGTTTGGTGAGTTTATCTCGTCATCCATCCACTCCCAATCAGTCAATCAGAGATCAGTATGCCTCCCACAAAATAAAATAACCTGATCCACCAAGTAACGTTTGAAACGAGACACTGCCGGTGATGAGAAAGGGTCAAATGTTTCCCAGTAAATTATGGATTATGAGCTGAAGTTCTGCACAGCATTAAGTTTTAGTATCATGACTCTCAAAACCTGAAAACCAAGATTAGTGTTTTTGTTTTTGTAGGAGGCCTTAATATTTAAACAGTAAAATATATCAACCTGTTGACAACAGAAACCTGTACCTGCAGGTTGAAATATTCTTACTGCACTGACTTTAAGAAAATAAGACTATTAGGACTCTAATCCCAGACAAAATAAGGTGTTTTCTGCAGTGAAATAAATGTTATTTCTTTTCTGGGCCGAGATAAGATATCACACTGATCTGAAAGGACACCAGTTCAATTTAAAGAGCTAGAGTATCTTTCTCGTGCATGTCCTCCACACTTCCTGTGTCATGCATTAGCACCACAGCATCTTTAGCCAGGTCAATCTTCTCTTATTCCATTTAAAAGATTAATTTAGCCTCAATATGTCTCCAAACAATCTGATGCTCCTGGTAAACGCACTGAAAGCAGAAAGAATGCAGTCGCTGCCACCATCTTAGCTGGTTTCTCTGGTATCTGACAATTTGTGCTCAGCCCCGAGGCGACCTTTGACCCTGTATAACCTTTCATCCCCCCGCCCCCCTTCAGATTGAGCACGACCCCCGGATGCCTGCCTACATCGCCACCCAGGGCCCCCTGTCACACACCATCTCTGACTTCTGGCAGGTCAGTGAGACGCAGAATTAAACCTTCTAGTTTGTGCAGATAAATAAAGTAGTGCTACTGCGTACATGGAGGGGTGAATTCCAGTTATTGTTGTGCAGATGGTGTGGGAGAACGGCTGCACCGTGATTGTGATGATGACGGCCCTGGTGGAGGACGGAGACAAGCAGTGTGACCGCTACTGGCCTGATGAGGGCTCGTCCCTCTACCACATCTATGAGGTGAGGACAGTGTCAGAGTGGGAGAGAGCGAGCCAGGGAGGACGTTTCCGATCAGTTTTCAGCAGCTGTCATTTTTTACTGCTCTGCAGGTCAACTTGGTGTCGGAGCACATCTGGTGCAACGACTTCCTGGTGCGGAGCTTCTACCTGAAGAACGTGCAGACGCAGGAGACCAGGACACTCACGCAGTTCCACTTCCTCAGCTGGCCGGCACAGGGCATCCCCACCTCCACACGCCCCCTGCTGGACTTCCGCAGGTACTGACGCTACCTGTTTATCCACACTTTGACACTAAACGGAGAGACAACGTTATTAAACAGTGTAAAATTTAGCTGCATTACTGAGGTGTTTATGCATCGTAATATCAATAAATTAAGACACTGACAGCTGATTAGCCTGGGTCACATATGGACGCACGGAAAAGACCTCTGGGAAGCCCTTTAGCGTCATTCATGAAAGCTAAAAGCAGGTGTAGGATATAAAGAAGATAAGCCCTACACATCCAAAAATGGGATATGGGAAATGAGATTGGTCTTGACCAAACGTCCATACGATACGCTGTCAGTCATGATAAAAGGTCAAATGTTTCCCAGCAAATTTTAGATTTTGAGCTGAAGTTCTGCACAGCATGTAGTTTTAGCATCATGACTCTTAAACCCTCAAAAGTCGGAAGATTCAAACTAAGATTAGTGTATTTGTTTAAGTAGGAGAGGCCTTAATACTTAAACGTCCTATCAAACCTAAAGTGCTAAAAACCTTATTTCTTTTTTTTTTTTAATTAGGCTTTGTGCAGTAAGAATTTTTCAACCTGTTGGCTTCAGAAATCAACTTATTTCAAGACTTTTCTGAAAGCGAGTGTTTGTACCTGCAGGTTGAAATAATCTTACTGCACTGACTTTTAGAAATAAGACTTATAAAATAAATGAATAATAACTAAATGCTATTTCTATTCTGGGCCGAGCTAAGATATCACACTGATCTGAAAGGTCGCCGGTAGTTCAATTTTAAGAGTAAAGTACTCTTAAAGATAGAAAACACAAGCTAGTGTATCTTTCTCGTGCATGTCCTCCAAACTTCCTGTGTCATGCATTTGCGCCAGAGCATCTTTAGCCAAGTTAATCTTCTCTTATTCCATTTAAAAGGAGAATAAAGATGAATTTTTTTCTCAAGGTTTTCCTTTACAAACACTTCACCGTCTTTAAACTCTCAACACTTCATCTATGATTCTCCGATTCAAGAAACATGTAAAGCTGGAGGTTGAACTATATGAAAATGACAATAAAAAGTTTAGATTGCACATTGTCTGCAAATTTGTCTGTTTTAAATTACTTTTCATAGCTTAGACGTGGACTGAATATGATTTGTTAAAGGTGTTTTTATTTTAAGTTACTTTGACAGCGATTTATAACAGCAGCCACAGACTTTAATAGGATAAAGTGTCTGTAGGGTCAAGTATTTTAGAAAAACACGTTCAAAAAATAATTGTGTTACTACTACTGAACTCAGACACTGCATCAACACCTGCATTAAAAAGCTTTTTAAACGACACCCAGCCCTAATAACACGATGAAGAAACAAGATCGTTGCCGTCCATTCTTCTGTCTTTCCACCATTATTCTCTTTGCTGCCCTCCCTCCCGCTCCTCTGTCCCTCCCCTCTTCCCGTCCTCCCACCCTGTGCGATGGAGGTCGGCCGGGCCCTTGGTTTTATTTTGAACATATCTGTCTGTGTCATTCTTGTGGTTTGCAGCTAGTAGTCTGGGTCCAGTTGCATAGTCACAAAAATGATCATGGACTTATGTGGCTGCAGCAGGAGGTCCATCGCCGAAAGCCCCTTTTTACCCCCGATCTGTCTATCTATCTATCTATCTATCTGTCTATCTGTCTATCTATCTATCTATCTATCTATCTATCTATCTATCTATCTATCTATCTATCTATCTATCTGTCTATCTGTCTATCTATCTGTCTATCTATCTATCTGTCTATCTATCTATCTATCTATCTATCTATCTATCTGTCTATCTATCTATCTATCTATCTATCTATCTGTCTATCTATCTATCTATCTGTCTATCTATCTATCTATCTATCTGTCTATCTATCTATCTGTCTATCTATCTATCTATCTGTCTATCTATCTATCTATCTATCTATCTATCTATCTGTCTATCTATCTATCTATCTATCTATCTATCTGTCTATCTATCTATCTATCTGTCTATCTATCTATCTATCTATCTGTCTATCTATCTATCTATCTATCTGTCTATCTATCTGTCTATCTATCTGTCTATCTATCTATCTATCTATCTATCTATCTGTCTATCTATCTATCTATCTATCTATCTATCTATCTGTCTATCTATCTATCTATCTGTCTATCTATCTATCTATCTATCTGTCTATCTATCTATCTATCTATCTATCTATCTATCTGTCTATCTATCTATCTATCTGTCTATCTATCTATCTATCTATCTGTCTATCTATCTATCTATCTATCTATCTATCTATCTATCTGTCTATCTGTCTATCTATCTATCTGTCTATCTATCTGTCTATCTATCTGTCTATCTGTCTCTGTCTATCTATCTATCTATCTGTCTATCTATCTATCTATCTGTCTATCTATCTATCTATCTGTCTATCTATCTATCTGTCTATCTATCTGTCTATCTATCTATCTATCTATCTATCTATCTATCTATCTATCTGTCTATCTATCTATCTATCTATCTATCTATCTATCTGTCTATCTATCTATCTATCTGTCTATCTATCTATCTATCTGTCTATCTATCTATCTGTCTATCTATCTATCTGTCTATCTATCTATCTATCTATCTATCTATCTATCTGTCTATCTATCTATCTATCTATCTATCTATCTATCTATCTATCTGTCTATCTATCTATCTATCTATCTATCTATCTGTCTATCTATCTATCTATCTGTCTATCTATCTATCTATCTATCTGTCTATCTATCTATCTGTCTATCTATCTATCTATCTGTCTATCTATCTATCTATCTATCTATCTATCTATCTGTCTCTATCTATCTATCTATCTATCTATCTATCTATCTATCTATCTATCTGTCTATCTATCTATCTATCTATCTATCTATCTGTCTATCTATCTATCTATCTGTCTATCTATCTATCTATCTATCTGTCTATCTATCTATCTATCTATCTGTCTATCTATCTATCTATCTGTCTATCTATCTATCTGTCTATCTATCTGTCTATCTATCTGTCTATCTGTCTATCTGTCTATCTATCTATCTATCTGTCTATCTATCTATCTATCTGTCTATCTATCTATCTATCTGTCTATCTATCTATCTGTCTATCTATCTGTCTATCTATCTATCTATCTATCTATCTATCTATCTATCTATCTATCTATCTATCTATCTATCTATCTGTCTATCTATCTATCTATCTGTCTATCTATCTATCTATCTATCTGTCTATCTATCTATCTGTCTATCTATCTATCTATCTGTCTATCTATCTATCTATCTATCTATCTATCTGTCTATCTGTCTATCTATCTGTCTATCTATCTATCTATCTATCTATCTATCTGTCTATCTATCTATCTATCTGTCTATCTATCTATCTATCTATCTATCTATCTGTCTATCTATCTATCTATCTATCTATCTATCTATCTATCTGTCTATCTATCTATCTATCTATCTATCTATCTATCTGTCTATCTATCTATCTATCTGTCTATCTATCTATCTATCTATCTGTCTATCTGTCTATCTATCTATCTATCTGTCTATCTATCTATCTATCTATCTGTCTATCTGTCTATCTGTCTATCTATCTGTCTATCTATCTATCTGTCTATCTATCTATCTATCTGTCTATCTATCTATCTGTCTATCTATCTATCTATCTGTCTATCTATCTGTCTATCTATCTATCTGTCTATCTATCTATCTATCTGTCTATCTATCTATCTATCTATCTATCTATCTATCTATCTGTCTATCTATCTATCTATCTGTCTATCTATCTATCTATCTATCTATCTATCTGTCTATCTATCTATCTATCTATCTATCTATCTATCTATCTGTCTATCTATCTATCTATCTATCTATCTATCTATCTGTCTATCTATCTATCTATCTGTCTATCTATCTATCTATCTATCTGTCTATCTGTCTATCTATCTATCTATCTGTCTATCTATCTATCTATCTATCTGTCTATCTGTCTATCTGTCTATCTATCTGTCTATCTATCTATCTGTCTATCTATCTATCTATCTGTCTATCTATCTATCTGTCTATCTATCTATCTATCTGTCTATCTATCTATCTATCTATCTATCTGTCTATCTATCTATCTATCTGTCTATCTATCTATCTATCTATCTGTCTATCTGTCTATCTGTCTATCTATCTGTCTATCTATCTATCTGTCTATCTATCTATCTATCTGTCTATCTATCTATCTGTCTATCTATCTATCTATCTGTCTATCTATCTGTCTATCTATCTATCTGTCTATCTATCTATCTATCTGTCTATCTATCTGTCTATCTATCTATCTATCTGTCTATCTATCTATCTGTCTATCTATCTGTCTATCTATCTGTCTATCTGTCTATCTGTCTATCTATCTATCTATCTGTCTATCTATCTATCTATCTGTCTATCTATCTATCTGTCTATCTATCTGTCTATCTATCTGTCTATCTATCTATCTGTCTATCTGTCTATCTATCTGTCTATCTGTCTATCTGTCTGTCTATCTGTCTATCTATCTATCTGTCTATCTATCTGTCTATCTGTCTATCTATCTGTCTATCTGTCTATCTGTCTATCTATCTGTCTATCTATCTATCTGTCTATCTATCTATCTATCTGTCTATCTATCTATCTATCTGTCTATCTATCTATCTGTCTATCTATCTATCTATCTGTCTATCTATCTGTCTATCTATCTATCTGTCTATCTATCTATCTATCTGTCTATCTATCTGTCTATCTATCTATCTATCTGTCTATCTATCTATCTGTCTATCTATCTGTCTATCTATCTGTCTATCTGTCTATCTGTCTATCTATCTATCTATCTGTCTATCTATCTATCTATCTGTCTATCTATCTATCTATCTGTCTATCTATCTATCTGTCTATCTATCTGTCTATCTATCTGTCTATCTATCTATCTGTCTATCTGTCTATCTATCTGTCTATCTGTCTATCTGTCTATCTATCTGTCTATCTATCTATCTGTCTATCTATCTATCTATCTGTCTATCTATCTATCTATCTGTCTATCTATCTATCTGTCTATCTATCTATCTATCTGTCTATCTATCTGTCTATCTATCTATCTGTCTATCTATCTATCTATCTGTCTATCTATCTGTCTATCTATCTATCTATCTGTCTATCTATCTATCTGTCTATCTATCTATCTATCTATCTGTCTATCTATCTATCTGTCTATCTATCTATCTATCTGTCTATCTATCTATCTATCTGTCTATCTATCTATCTATCTGTCTATCTATCTATCTGTCTATCTATCTGTCTATCTATCTGTCTATCTATCTATCTGTCTATCTGTCTATCTATCTGTCTATCTGTCTATCTGTCTGTCTATCTGTCTATCTATCTATCTGTCTATCTATCTATCTATCTGTCTATCTGTCTATCTGTCTATCTATCTATCTATCTGTCTATCTATCTATCTATCTATCTATCTATCTATCTATCTATCTATCTGTCTATCTATCTATCTATCTATCTATCTATCTATCTGTCTATCTATCTATCTATCTATCTGTCTATCTATCTATCTGTCTATCTATCTATCTATCTATCTGTCTATCTATCTATCTATCTATCTATCTATCTATCTGTCTATCTATCTATCTATCTATCTGTCTATCTATCTATCTGTCTATCTATCTATCTATCTATCTGTCTATCTATCTGTCTATCTATCTATCTGTCTGTCTATCTATCTATCTGTCTATCTATCTATCTATCTATCTGTCTATCTATCTATCTGTCTATCTGTCTATCTATCTGTCTATCTGTCTATCTATCTGTCTATCTATCTATCTGTCTATCTATCTATCTATCTGTCTATCTATCTATCTATCTGTCTATCTATCTGTCTATCTATCTTTCTGTCTATCTGTCTGTCTATCTATCTGTCTGTCTATCTATCTATCTGTCTATCTATCTATCTGTCTATCTATCTGTCTATCTATCTATCTATCTATCTATCTGTCTATCTATCTGTCTATCTATCTATCTATCTTTCTGTCTATCTGTCTATCTATCTGTCTATCTATCTGTCTATCTATCTGTCTATCTATCTATCTATCTATCTATCTATCTATCTGTCTATCTATCTATCTGTCTATCTGTCTATCTGTCTATCTATCTATCTATCTATCTATCTATCTATCTATCTATCTGTCTATCTATCTATCTGTCTATCTATCTATCTATCTATCTGTCTATCTATCTATCTATCTATCTGTCTATCTATCTGTCTATCTATCTATCTATCTATCTATCTGTCTATCTATCTATCTATCTATCTATCTATCTATCTATCTATCTATCTGTCTATCTATCTGTCTATCTGTCTATCTATCTATCTATCTATCTATCTATCTATCTGTCTATCTATCTATCTATCTATCTATCTGTCTATCTATCTGTCTATCTATCTATCTATCTTTCTGTCTATCTGTCTATCTATCTGTCTATCTATCTATCTATCTATCTATCTATCTATCTATCTATCTATCTATCTATCTATCTGTCTATCTATCTATCTGTCTATCTGTCTATCTGTCTATCTATCTATCTATCTATCTATCTATCTATCTATCTATCTATCTATCTATATCTATCTGTCTATCTATCTATCTATCTATCTATCTATCTATCTATCTATCTATCTATCTATCTATCTGTCTATCTATCTGTCTATCTATCTATCTATCTATCTATCTATCTATCTATCTGTCTATCTATCTATCTATCTGTCTATCTATCTATCTATCTATCTGTCTATCTATCTATCTATCTATCTGTCTATCTATCTATCTATCTATCTATCTATCTATCTGTCTATCTATCTATCTATCTATCTATCTATCTATCTATCTATCTATCTGTCTATCTATCTGTCTATCTGTCTATCTATCTATCTATCTATCTATCTATCTATCTGTCTATCTATCTATCTATCTATCTGTCTATCTGTCTATCTATCTGTCTATCTATCTATCTATCTGTCTATCTATCTATCTATCTATCTATCTATCTATCTGTCTATCTATCTATCTATCTATCTGTCTATCTGTCTATCTATCTGTCTATCTATCTGTCTATCTATCTATCTATCTATCTGTCTATCTATCTATCTATCTATCTGTCTATCTATCTGTCTATCTGTCTATCTATCTATCTATCTATCTATCTATCTATCTATCTGTCTATCTATCTATCTATCTATCTGTCTATCTGTCTATCTATCTGTCTATCTATCTATCTATCTGTCTATCTATCTATCTATCTGTCTATCTATCTATCTATCTATCTGTCTATCTGTCTATCTATCTGTCTATCTGTCTATCTATCTATCTATCTATCTATCTATCTGTCTATCTATCTATCTATCTATCTATCTATCTATCTGTCTATCTGTCTATCTATCTATCTTTCTGTCTATCTGTCTGTCTATCTATCTATCTATCTATCTATCTATCTATCTGTCTATCTATCTATCTATCTATCTATCTGTCTATCTATCTATCTTTCTGTCTATCTTTCTGTCTATCTGTCTATCTATCTATCTATCTATCTGTCTATCTGTCTATCTGTCTATCTATCTATCTATCTATCTGTCTGTCTGTCTATCTATCTGTCTGTCTATCTATCTATCTATCTATCTATCTGTCTATCTATCTATCTTTCTGTCTATCTGTCTATCTATCTATCTATCTATCTATCTGTCTGTCTATCTATCTATCTATCTATCTATCTATCTATCTGTCTGTCTATCTATCTATCTATCTATCTGTCTATCTATCTATCTATCTATCTATCTATCTATCTATCTATCTATCTATCTATCTATCTATCTGTCTATCTATCTATCTGTCTATCTATCTATCTATCTATCTATCTATCTATCTATCTATCTGTCTATCTATCTGTCTATCTATCTATCTATCTATCTATCTGTCTATCTATCTATCTATCTATCTATCTATCTATCTATCTGTCTATCTATCTGTCTATCTATCTGTCTATCTATCTATCTATCTATCGTTCTGTCTTCTGTCTATCTATCTATCTATCTATCTATCTGTCTATCTGTTAACTATCTGTCTATCTATCTGTCTATCTATCTATCTGTCTATCTGTCTATCTATCTATCTATCTATCTATCTATCTATCTATCTATCTATCTATCTATCTATCGTTCTGTCTATCTATCTATCTATCTATCTATCTGTCTATCTGTCTATCTATCTGTCTATCTATCTGTCTGTCTATCTGTCTATCTATCTATCTATCTATCTATCTATCTATCTGTCTATCTGTCTATCTGTCTATCTATCTGTCTATCTGTCTATCTATCTGTCTATCTGTCTATCTGTCTATCTATCTATCTATCTATCTATCTATCTATCTATCTATCTATCTATCTATCTATCTATCTATCTATCTATCTATCGTTCTGTCTATCTGTCATGCATAATGCTTGTCTGGCTGAAACTAAAATGTTTCCCATAGTTTTTTCACCCAAGACTTCAGTACAGTGTGCTTTATTTTGAAAAACAAGTTGATTTAATTTAGCTTTTCTCAGTGGCTTTGGTACATTTCTCAAATCAGCCTTAACATTTGAAAAACAGTGAGTGCGTTCCCCGAAAACAGCACCTCGCAGTCCTGCAGAAGCTTGTCACTTGCTCAAAATCCTTAGTCAATCACTCAAAAGGTAGATTGTCTACAAACAAGAAGGTCAACATGTTCAGCCAGTTGTACATAATCATTTGTATAAATGTGTCTAAGCATATGGAATTTGTTCAAAATAATGAGAAATTGTTTTTATGATGTGCACAAGCGACGAGATGATGTGGAGGTTATCTGATCTGAGAAATGTACCATAGCGACTGTAAAAAAAAAAAACATCCTGAAACATTTTTTAGACAGAAATTAGATTATTATTTACTGCATGAATGTTTTTTTGCTGCTCAGTGGCTGCAAAGAAATCCCAGTCTGCTTGCCTGTTCAGATTTTTACTCATTAGTCTCAGTCTACATCCATTAGATACATAAACAAGAATCTCAGCTATAGATGCAAAAATGTAAATTATATTACATTCATCTATTATTTATTTCAGAATTATTCTTTATTTGTTCATAATTCTTTGACTGTTGGGAGTTATGTGGCTCTTTCTGTTCATAATAAAATACTAAGATTCACATTAATCTAAGCTTTTGGCTGCATTATGTTATTAGATATATTTTAACGTAAAGATTAATTATAGTTTTTGTGATCCTCTCTCTGATTGGATCATTGAACTAGCATCTTTGGAAATACTAAAATGTTTGTTAATATACCCGATGAAGGTTGTGTGAACAGAAACGTATATGTAACTAAATATATGAACAGTTAATTGACACAGTTATTATATTTTCATATATTTAAAAAACAATAAAACTTGTTATGTTTTTGCTTCTTGTGTTTTCCCTCGTCAGGAAGGTGAATAAGTGCTACCGAGGACGATCCTGCCCCATCATCGTGCACTGCAGGTAAACCGTGAACATCTTGAATTTTAATCAGTAAGATAAAATATAAAAATAATAACTACGAAAGAAGTTTTCCGTTTTTTTCTAACATGCAATGGTCAAAATTGAAGCCACTTCTTTTCACAAAACTCTTCATACAGTCTAAATTACCAACATGCATCTTGGCCAGACAATTAATCTCACCTGCAAAAGTCACTCAAACCACCGAAACACTTCATACAAGTCTCAAAATGAACTTGTTCAACCAAACACTGGCAACAAGTCTCACTCAGAAAGCATCCATTGTCAATCATAACACACTGACCTACAAAACACTAACAACAGGAAGCATTATCTAAATTTGATTAACTTTATCTTCGAAATGTGACAGATCTTTCATATAAATCAGATCAGATTAATCATTTCTCAGATCAGAATTGAATCATCTAGTCACGTGTGCACATCATATGTAAAAGTAATTTCAATCAATTTGTGAAATTGGCAAACGCTTTGACACATTTATGCAAATGATTATGTACAATTGTCTGCTGTTTCCTACATTATCAGTTGCTTACTGTATGTCATGTTGATTACAATGTATTACAGTTTACTGGTTCTCTGTTGCCCCCAAAACATCTAGTCATAAGTTCATTGCATAAGTCGCTACATGCAAAATGGTTGAACATGTAATAATGTGCAAATAATTTTTTCTACATGTGCATTACTTTTTTTGTGTACTATGGTAAATTGATGAAGATATCTGTTATGATGTCAATAAGAAACTGTGAACGATTGTAGAAATGTACCAAAGCAACTGAGAAAAACTGCATTCAGCAATTTACTTGGAGATAAAAAGGTCCTGAAATTTCAGCGCTGCAATGCAGTTTTTCTCAGTTGTTTACACAGTAACACTGGTACGTGAGACACAGTGACCACAACTTGTAATAGAAGCATCAACCACTTGAAGCAATTCTGCTAAAATACAAGCACATTTCCTGCTTTACACTCAGCTTGCAGTTTTACAGTAAAACCTGTAAACATAAAATGTACGTAAATGTAAAAGGTTTTCGATATATTTCAGTCTGGTTGCTGCAAAAATGCAGCATATTTGCAATAATTCTGTTTTGAAATGTGCTGCAGATATATAGAGTTTTGCAGGTGGTGAAGTAGTAATGAGAAAAGAGTTCATGGATTTTGGAGAAAGTAGTCATTGAATGCATTTTGTGTAAAAGCAATGAAAAATGATTCATACTTTGGTCCACATATACTTCTGTTTCGCTGACTGCGTGAAGAGTTTTGACAGTGTGTGAATTGAAAAAAACTCCGAAACTCACTCAAACCACCAACACACTTCATACACGTCTCCAAACAAACTTGTTCAACCAAAACACTAACACCAGGGAGCATTATACATAAATGATAAACTTTTATCTTTAAAGCTTGAATGATTTTTCACATAAATCTCATAAATTCATTATAGACTAAGAATAACAGATTTTGACTTTATTGACTGTACGCAAGTATTATGTAACAAGAATAAATCAGAAATGCAGAATTTTTGTTTAATATAAATTACTATTTAATTTTTTTCTATATCATTGCATATAGTCATTTACTATAAATAATTAAGATAAAAAGTTGAAAAACTAATTTCTGAAATTTCAGTGCTGCAATGCAGTTTTTCTCAGTTGTCACAACGACCACAACCTGCATGCACCAACCATCTGAACCAATTCTGCTAAACTGTAAAGCACATTTTCTGCTTTACAGTCAGATCGCAGCTCTAAACAACACTTTTTTCAAAACACTACGCACATAGACGTAAATATTCTGCTAAGATGTTCAATATGTCTCAATGTGGTTAGTGCTGAAATGCACGACATTTATCATCATTCTGTTTCAGCTTTGACCGACGCATGTTGGCAAAAGAAAACAACTGTAATTTAGACCTGCACTCCATTGTAGTACCACTTAAATCCTCCAGGTGGCAGACATATGCAACATTACACCATCAACTCTGGTCCTGTCCTTTAATAAGATTAGAAATAAATAATATATAGAAATTTTGTTTCTATATTCAGATGTTGTCTAACATTTCCTATGTGATATTTGCATTTTAAAGCACTTTGTAAGTTTGTTTTTAATATCTCAAGTAGAATTTTTAATCAATTAGTTTTATTTATTAAAGTTTGGTTTGTGTTGTTTCTTTAGTGACGGTACAGGCCGGACTGGGACTTACATCCTGATCGACATGGTTCTCAATCGCATGGCTAAAGGTGAGCTTTACTGTAGTAATGCTCATATCAGAAGGGTTTTCACCTCTCTTGACAGTCAGTGTCACACTGCCTTTTTCCCACCATTATTCAATCAGTTTTTTGATCCCAACAAAGTGAAGGACGTTCAGATTAAGATTTGATCACAAGTTTAGACCTGATGTCTCCTCAATGTTCAATTTGTAAATCAGAGATTGAGTCGCTTTGTTATTTATCTTATCTCTTTATTAATGTGTGAAACTCATAATATCTTGGTCCCTTTGTCCAAACGTATGGTCTTATTTTTGAATGTCAAATCCATCAACTGTAAAATTGTTATGGGTTAACATCATATTCATAAAAACAATATATTGACCTTAAATCCCTATATTTTTCCAGTGGCAGAGTTTTAATAAAAAATAAAAAAATGGTTAAAGGCATCCAATATTTTGAAACATATATATATGTATTTTGGATCTCAGCCAATGGATCGATTTTGGCCCAGTCCATTTCTGATCTGACACTTAAAAATATATTTTTTTACACATAAACTTAATAAAATGTTATTATAATTATATATATTTGCTACAATCTGAATTGACAGGGACAGGATGTGAACTCTGGTCTCTCTACGGGGCCAAAGGTTAAAGTATTGCACGCTTTCTGAGGATGCATAAGTGTGCGTGTTACTGGTGCAATGAATGTGTGTTACCTTTTCTGCTGCAGGTGTGAAAGAGATCGACATCGCTGCTACGCTAGAGCATGTCCGAGACCAGAGGCCTGGGATGGTTCGCACCAAGGTCTGTCCAACTGTGTGTGCTGTTGAACTTCATGAGTAGATAAAGGTTACTGAAGAATGTGCCCAAAGTAGCTTCTGTCTCAGTGGAAATTAGAAGTGGAAGCTCAAGTTTTGTTCTTGAGGTGGGAACCAATGGAATAAAGGTTAGAGAAGAGGACCTGAACATATACGGTCACGCGATGAATCCCTCGGATCGAACAGCTCGGGGTGTTGGAGTTCTGTTGACTGACAATTTCGAAGTTGTATGTCTGAAGGAAAAAGTAGAAGGCTCTGAGAAAGAAGAGGTGGTGGTGAGTCTACGATCGAGTAGTTAAAAGACTGGTCAGAAGTTCTGAAGAATTTTGAGGCCAACGTCCAGAAGAAAGCCTAAAAGGCTTATAAAACGATGAGTTCATTGTCCCAGGCATTTAAGGAGGTTGTTAAATTTGTGAATTTTAAAGACAGATGTCCAAAGGAAAAACAGAAAAGCTCTTGTGTGTCTTAGATCAAGTAGTTCAGGAGGACACAAACTTCAGACTCATGAGCTCTTGAGGTTTCGACAAGGTGGAAGAAATAAGAAGACAAAATCTGAACAAAATAAAACGGATGCTCTGAGGCTTTAGATTCGATTGAAGCTCGCTGTCTACAGCAAGGAGTGAAAAAAATCCACGGAGGATGCTTTGGAGGTCTTGAGGCTCTGGGTTCAATCCTCAGCTGAAGATTAGTATTTTGAAAGCTGATGTCTGAATGGAAGATTTAAAAGCACCAGGACACAAAGTTTGTTTGTCTCAACCAATAGCTCAGTGTGTTGGAAGCATGTTTGGCATGTCTGAGGCTCTGGGTTCAATCCCCATTTGAAGATGAGTGTTTTTAAAGCTGACGTTTAAAGGAAAAAGTGAAAAGCACCAAGAAACAGAGTTCATCTCTCTGGGCATACAGCTCAGAATGGGGGATCTGGGTTCGAGGCTCAGTGACTTTTGAAGGCCACAACCCTAAAAGTGAGAAGATAAAAGCGCCCGGAGAAAAGGTTTAAATGTGAAGGGGACTTGGTGGCGTGGCTGGTTTGACAGTGACCGTAAGGCGCCAGTGGTGCAGTGTCTAAGGTTCAAATCCCGCCTACGGCCAGTACCCGGAGCTGAGGGAGGGGGCCGTGTCCCCTCCCGATGTTACGGAGAGGTACAAACTGGGGGTTATGGGATGGAAAATTAAGTAAACAGAGATTTTTAATAATGTTGGAGAACTGAAGAGTAGAGATGCACAATATAATTACTGAACCCAACAATTTTATTCAGCTTGTCCTTTCTTATATTATATCATTTAGTTCAGACACACCTGCCTCACGTTAGCTGTGAAAGGTAATTTTCTGTCCTAACATGTATGGCTTCTTGTTCCCAGGACCAGTTTGAGTTCGCCCTGACAGCCGTCGCTGAGGAGGTCAACGCCATCCTCAAAGCTCTGCCCCAGTGAAACCAGTATGACCCCGCACCCTCGCCCTGTCATAACTTGCCTTTTCTCTCTATGATTATCATGAAGAAGTGCTTCTCCATCTGCCCTCTGAAACATAAAGATTTAAAAACAATTTGGAAATAAGGTTTAGAATCAGGCGACTTTAAGGTTAGGACGGATTTTTAAATATTTGTTCAGGGGTTAGAGATGCAAAAAAAGAAGTGTTAAAAATGAAAGCGGGTTGGTTGTTTGTTGAAATTGTGCTACTGTTGGGTCATCATGTTTGTTTTTTTGTCTCTCTTGTCAAGGTAAAATTATTGATGGGAAAAAAGTGTTAAAAGATCCCTGGTTAAGTACAGGATGTTTTGCAATGCGGTTAGGGGTGAATTCTGATTGATTGCACATCTGTAGCTTCCCTTCCTCTCTAACACCTGACTAACACCTGCAGAAAATAAAAACACACCGTACCGTCCTTCTCTTTGTGTGCCATCATCACTGGATATAGTGTTGTTACCTCATGCAAATCAGAAAATTAAAAAAAAAAAGAAAGAAAGAAGAGAAATTGCTATTCTATGAAAAAAAGAAAAGCTATTTTGTATATGTGAGTCCTTAAATAAATCTTTTCGTGTTTAAGTGCTGCAATCAGCTGTGTGTCTTCTATGACTTAATGTACTTACAATAAACAGCTGTACACACAAACATATGCATAACAAGTAACTTAACTAAATAAATGCACTCAAATCAAAAGTTAAAATGAGGCTGCAGAAGTCAAAGTTAATCTTTTATGTTAATAATCTTCTAAATGTCTATTAAAAGACTTTTAAAATATGTTCGGTGTTTTAAGAACTACTGCAGTCCTTGTTGATTGTTGTTCCGACACATTCAATAAAACGTTTGTACTACGTCTGTCAAAGTATCCTGTTAAGTGTTGTATTTGAATTTAAGATAAAATGAATTAATCAGCTGTGTTGGTGAAATATGAAGTTCGTGTCGGGGCTTTTTAACAGTATGTGAAAAGTAAAAATCCATATGAAATGTTCACATTTCACAACAAATTTATGTTAAATGTTCTTTCTGTAAACTAGAAGTTTAACCCATTAGTTATTTTACTACTTATTCTCAACAAGTCTGGATAGAAGTTGCTTTATTGATATATTTTTTTCAAAGTATGAACACCCATATTAGGAGACATGGTCTTTTTTCCTCAACTGACTCAGCCAATCAATAATTATCATTAGTCAAATTCTAAAGTCTATATAGTAATTTATATTTTCCTCATACAATGAGTTTGTTTTATTTTGTATTTTTATTATTCTACCCTGTTCCAATATGTCTTTGTATTTTCTGTTTTCTGCGAACACACATTAACTGAGCGCATCATAAAGCTTCAGACGTTTCAGCAGTGGATGCTACTTTACGGTAAGTGTTACGACATAGCAACAGGCTAGGCTAACCAGCCGTGTAGGCCACGCTGATTTAGTCGCGGCTCGACTCGTACGTCTATATAAATACAGCTTGGGTCATACTAGGATATGTACAAATACTGGCCCACAAATCTCATCGCACCAGTTTACCTGCTGCTGCTGCTCCAGGGTTTAGCCTGGTCCGGACGACACACGCGGTCACTCCAGTCCCAGGTTTTATATTAACCACTTCATGAAATGGATGTTCAGTCCCATCACTTTTTGGAAGCATTTGTTTTAAAGAAACACCCTTTTTGCCCCCCCCCCCTTTCTTACAAATGAAAATAGCTTGAAAGAGGATTAACTGCGCAGTAAGAAAACATGCAATTTAAATATGGACCAAATGTGGATCGTCTCATCTCCACTTTCCAACACAAAGTCACGCCCTTGTTAATTGAAGTTGCAGCTAATGCTCATACCAAATACTCACAGGACACAAAAGGCTTCATTTGTTTTTCAGCAAACGTTTCGAGAGCCAAAGCATCAAAAACTCACTGGCTCCAACCTCTTTAATATGTTTACTAGTTTAGGTGTTGACCAACCTCCTCGTGGTGCCGCTGAGATGAACCTGCTGCTGTCAGAAGTAAACACGGGACAAGTAGTGACTTAATGTCTTTTATTAGTTTGCATTATTAACGCTGGGGCATGAAACTCACGTAGCTCACTGGAATGTGCAGAATTAAAAAGGAATGAGTCCAATATTTCTTGGCAACGAAACACTTTTTGGTGTTCGGCTTCACTTCCTGGGACAGATGGACTGCGATGGGAGCGAGCTACAGATCGCTCTGTGACCTAGTACTCCTCGCCTTCATCCTCCTCGCCAACGCTGTCGGTTCCCACCTCTTCGTAATCCTTCTCCAGTGCAGCCATGTCCTCTCTGGCCTCTGAGAACTCTCCCTCTTCCATCCCCTCTCCCACGTACCAGTGGACGAAGGCCCTCTTGGCGTACATGAGGTCAAACTTGTGGTCGAGTCGAGCCCAGGCCTCTGCGATGGCGGTGGTGTTGCTCAGCATGCACACGGCCCTCTGCACCTTGGCCAGGTCTCCTCCGGGAACCACAGTGGGAGGCTGGTAGTTGATGCCCACCTTGAAGCCAGTGGGACACCAGTCCACAAACTGGATGCTGCGTTTCGTTTTGATGGTGGCGATGGCGGAGTTGACATCTTTGGGCACCACATCGCCACGGTACAGGAGACAGCAGGCCATGTACTTGCCGTGGCGAGGGTCGCATTTCACCATCTGATTGGCTGGCTCGAAGCAGGCGTTGGTGATATCAGCCACTGATAACTGCTCGTGATAGGCCTTCTCTGCTGAGATAACTGGGGCGTAGGTTGCCAGTGGGAAGTGGATACGTGGGTAGGGCACCAGGTTGGTCTGGAACTCCGTCAGGTCCACGTTCAAGGCGCCGTCGAAGCGCAGGGAGGCTGTGATGGAGGAGACGATCTGTCCAATCAGCCTGTTGAGGTTGGTGTAGGAGGGACGCTCGATGTCCAGGTTCCTGCGGCAGATGTCATAGATGGCCTCGTTGTCCACCATGAAGGCGCAGTCAGAGTGCTCCAGGGTGGTGTGGGTGGTCAGGATGGAGTTGTAGGGCTCCACCACGGCCGTGGACACCTGGGGGGCGGGGTAAACAGCAAACTCCAGTTTGGACTTTTTGCCGTAGTCGACAGAGAGACGCTCCATCAGCAGAGAGGTGAAGCCAGAGCCGGTTCCTCCTCCGAAGGAGTGGAAGATGAGGAATCCTTGGAGCCCTGTGCACTGGTCAGCCTGAAAAGTTAAGCAGAAGGATTGTTGATATATTTGAACGTAAACAAAAAACGCACACCTCCCTCGAGAACTGCCACCAGATGCTGATTGGCTGAACAATGGTGTGGAAGGTCTGTACGGTTTCCCCATTAACAAACGCCACACATCACACATCCTGAGGATCTTGAGCTCACCAGCTTGCGTGTCCTGTCGAGAACGAGGTCGATGATCTCTTTGCCGACTGTGTAGTGACCGCGGGCGTAGTTGTTGGCTGCGTCCTCCTTACCGGTGATCAGCTGCTCGGGGTGGAAAAGCTGGCGGTAGGTTCCAGTTCGTACTTCATCTGAGGTAGAACGAGAAAACGGACTTACAGTGATGCGCTAATCAACAGGTGTCCACAGGAGCTTTCTCAAACTCAAAGTTAGCACCAAATACAAGATCTGTAATATTGTGTGTGCATTAAAGAAATGACTCCCCCACAATGAAAGGCAGCAGCGGACTCTTATTTAATTTTTACCTATGACCGTTGGCTCCAAGTCCACAAAGATGGCCCTGGGAACGTGTTTGCCGGCTCCAGTCTCACTGAAGAAGGTGTTGAAGGAGTCGTCTCCCCCTCCCATGGTCTTGCCGCTGGGCATCTGACCGTCCGGCTGGATTCCATGCTCCAGGCAGTAAAGCTCCCAGCAGGCATTGCCCATCTGGACGCCGGCCTGGCCGACATGCATTGAAATACACTCACGCTGTAGAGAAAAGAGAAAGAAATCTCATTTAGAGGCAATATAGTATTTGTAAATATTTGTTAGAGTAAATGTTCACCTCTCATATAAAGATACACTTCGCATTTTGAAAGTTCCTGCTCTGTATCAATCAGCTCGTCCTCTGCAGTGCAGACACTGACCCAGAGCCTCTACACGAGATGGCCTGGTTTTATTATAAAAAGAAACGCCACAGCACAATCGTGATGATATTTAGTATTAATTTTACATGTATTAATAATCATGCAGTTATTCTTGCTTCATGCGTTCACTGTAGTTCTCCCGGTTTAATCGGTTTGCAGCTTAATAGGGTTGAAAGTTTTCCTAATCAACATCCCTCATAAAACAAATATTTTTTGTGTGTTAAATGTCCGAAGTGCAGCCATTGATAAATTACATAAAATCAGTTGCAGTTTAATTTTACATTGATCAATTAATCGACTGATCAATCAAGAAAACAGGCTGAAAGCAGCAGTACAATACTGAACTTAGTGAACAGATGACGACTCAAGTCTTTTATTTGTATATTGTTGTTTTTGGTCTTTTTTAAAGCTTAAGCATGTTTATATGCAAGTGTATGGTTGTATCTGCAAATGTGCATTAATGTACAGCTGCACAGATCTGGTGAAGAATCATTAACATTGCCATATTTGAGTGAATACTTAAAAAAAAAAATTTGACAGTCACTCCCTTCTGCCCCCTTGGACCTCATTTCAGTCAGTCAATTTAAAAAAACATTTTGTAATGAAAGAAAATTGTAACAGTAAATTAACAGCTGTGTGAGAGAACAAAATAATGTAGAATCATGATTTAGATTTCTTTTTTTATTCAAAACTCCAACACAAATTGTCACAGCCTTAAATTTTTAGGGACGCCATCATAAATGTTTAGATCAATCTATGAGTCAACTACTAAATTAATCTGCAACTATTTTCATAGTCGATTTTAGTCATTTAAAAAAAAAAAGAATCTAGCTTCTTAAACGTGAATATTTTCTGGTGTCTTTGACAGTAAACTCAATTTGGATTGTGAACAAAGCAAGAAATTGGAGGTACGTCATCTTTGGCTTTGGAAAATTGCCATTGTGCACCATTCATCTTGTGGACCACATAACTACTCCAGTGGTCTAGAAATTGAACAATAACAGTTAGTTGCAGCTTTTAAACTAATTTTCATTATAATCTTTATTAAAATCCAGTGTCATTCATGCACTTTCAAACACTGCACACTCGGCGGGAGTCTTTCTAAAATCCCTCGCCTCGGGCCATGATATCTTTAGGCCTGATGAATTGTGTGTGCTGAGTCACATACAGCGGCTTACTGCAGACCTGTGGTGGGTCAACTCTCCTGCCCCTCCCGACCAGAGGAGCAGCAGCAGATCAGTAAAAGACACCCAACAGGGAGGAGAGAGGGGGAAAAACACAGACAGGAAGAGGCTCCCGTCCCTCCCTGCCCCCACACTGCTGCTGCTGCCGCCGCTTCTGCAGCAAAGCCCTACCTTTGTGTGGCGTTCACGGACAGGGCGTTATCTGATGGCGTCTGTGCACAATCGGCCACATGCGCACACGGTTTTCTACCGACTAACGTTCCTGAAACGACTTATTTTAACATCAGTAAGACGTTATTTATTCAACGAGTACGACGTTATTTGTAAGATTGGCGTAAGATAAAACCGACGCGTTTAATTGTAATTTTAGCGCTCATTTTTTATTTGAAACTGCGCCAGTAACGTAAACGTAGTTTGTCCCCGTTACACGATATTAACGTTAAGAAACACACAGGGGATCGTGAACACAGCCACATATAACATAACGTCGGAGCCTTAACGTTATATGAACATTTGAATCAAAACTGAATATTTAACTATAAACATTGCGCTCTTTTAACACCAGCGACAACCTGATTCTTACTCACTTTTTTTAAAACCCGAGTACGAGTTTTTAAACGCATTTACGGATCAATACTCACCATTTTCTGACTGTTTTTCTCCTTCTTGCCGACGTTGAAGAATCGGTTGCTGAAGGCAGTACTGAGGGGAGACGGCGGAGAGCGGGTGTTATTTATACTTTCTCGAGGAGGCGGGGCCAGAGTGACGATTTGAGTTTCTACTCGGCGGGAGCGAACGTTAGGCGCTGCTGCGTTCAGGTTCGGCCCGGAATATTCCACTTCGTAGAGTTTAGCTGCGTCACCCGATGGAAATTTGAATCGTTTATCTTCTATTGGAGGCAGGGCAGATGCTATAGCCCTAATAATTTGTGCCTCTTATATAATCATAATTCACACGTTTAAGACTTCTGTATTTATGATGTGAAACGAATTCTAGACGCATCCGAAATCAATGTAAGGAGACCACGTGTTGCAAACATACAGACAAAGCTGCGTGACTCCATTAACATGCAGAGAGAAGAGGAGAAAGGACAGGTTTTTGGGAGGAAAGGTGAGTTATGAGCATATACCGTATACATAAATAAATACATATAAAATGCAATATGGAGAGCCCTTTTTGAAGTGCAGGCACAGTTGTATTTAGTGTATGGTTGTATTTGTAAATGTGAGTATGAGTATCAATGAATGGGTGCAAAGATTTGTGATATAGAATGAATAAACATGGCCATATTTGTGTGAATAAAAAATAGTCCCTCCCTTCCCCCTCTGCCCCAATGGACATTATTTAAAAAAACAAAAACTATGGATGTCGAAGGACAACTTGTTTTTTTTTTATTCCGTTTGAATTGTGCTCTGAATTACAGAAATTATGTCAATTTAAAAGATCATTTTGTAAGTCACACGGGATGGAATTACACGAGCAACCTGTCTTGCTTGTTCTTTCGCTTCGCGGCTGATAAAAGGACCAGGAGTCACTGGATAAAACACATCAGGTGAGCTAACGTTACCATGTTGGTGTTGGCAAAGTATGTTGTGCTAGACGAGAGATGCAGTTCACTGAGCAGTTTCACACAAAACTAAATGCTACTACAATAAACCGCGACTAACTGAACTTGCAAAATGATCTTTATAATTGACAAATATCATATGTGTAGGAAGGCTAAACCAAAGTTAGCCGGCTCGGCTGGTGGAAGCATCTGGTGCGGCTTTCTCTATGGGCCGCCACCATGACCGAAGGAGGTGGGGTTAAAGGAAAAAATAGTGTGCTTGCATTTGTGGGGCCACACGATGCGTAAGATCCAGGTAATGTTATAGGTGGAAGTCACTGAGCAGCTTTTATAGGAATGAATGGAGCCCCGCCTCCAGCGCCATGTTCAGTTCTCTTTATACATCTGTGCTTGCATGAGGTTCTTACCTACAGTAGATGGCGGTTGGCACACCCCCACTTAGGAGAAGCAGACAGGTGTCCTGACATATAAGCGAAGCAATGTACTGCTCTGGACGGGGCAGCAGCAAAAGGTGTTTTAGCCACCTAAAAAAAAAAAAAAGCTCACCTTAAAAAAATCAGTATAAGTTTAAGTGTACGCTATATTTTGAATATATTCATCGCTTTACCTTGCCATAAAACAGCCCTTTATGACAGGAAACCAAAGCTGTTATAGCGCTTTCAACGAAGCCACCAGACTCCTTTTAAAAAAAAATTTAATTTTAGCTTGCAGAATGCAGGAGTTGTTTGTTTTGAACTATCCCTTTAAGTGATGCTTTTTTTATTCACTATTTTTAATAGTGTTATTTCAATTAACAGTGCGTTTGTTATTTGTATTGCTGCAAAGCATGAAAAGTTACACAGCAAATTTGACTAACTAAATAGTATCTTGTTTTCTAATCCAAATAACACAACTGAGACGTCAGCAGGACGTGCTGTTTAATTGCTAGAATACCCAGCTAAAACTATCACTACAGGCTCTATTTGTTGCACTTGAATTCACTAACAGTCTTATTTGTGATCCCACAACTTAGGAGAGAGACTGTAGGAGAAGCACCTGAAGGCAGCTTAACTCTAATACAGTGGCTCCACTATATGAAGGCTCTCTCTCATACAACAATAACACATTCATTCCATTTAATTTATAATTCATGACTAGTCAACCTCATTAAAGACATATAACTGAAATGTTTGCCAATAATTGGGTCATCAAGACCATATGACTGAGTTAAAATAATGAAAAGCTACAAGTGCTACAACACATTATTACCTCTTATTTATTCATGAAGACTGGACTCTGAAACCTATTCCTAACACCACCAAAGAATCCAGGTCTAATCCTGAGGTAATTTTGTTATATAAGGCCTTGCGCATGGCTGTGATGAGGAATTAGACTTGAATGATCAGTGCTTATCAAGGTAGTGAAGTGAGCTATTGATGAGCTATGCACTGTGATTGAGGGCTGTGTTGTGTTACACTGACAAAAAAAGTACACCAATGGAAACATGTCTTAAGTTTATTGGTTCAACACAGGGACACATTGGAAAGATGATATCTTGACACCGGATTCCTCATACTCTCCTTCGATATTGACGTGAATTTTGCAGATAATTTACAGCTTGACTTGTGTTAATAAAAATCTGTCAAACATAGAATATTCCTATAAAATTTGAGAACACATAACCGTCTGTTTAGCATAGAGTAGAAGTCTCAATGATTTTATCTGAACAATAAATATTCTGCAACAAAACTCTATAGTTTCTAATTCCCTGCTTCAATGGCAAGGCATTTGTAAACAGTGGGGTTCTCTATACCGTTCAATTGATCAGACACTTGTCTTGTTACACAGTGCAGCCAAACAGTGGCTATACAATGGTAAAGCAGAGTTCTGTTGTTATGCAGCATAGCATTGAAAGGAGGCAAAGATTAGGAGGAATTTTAGCACCTCTAGGCATGAATTTGCATTTTCACAGTAGCTATATGTCACAGTTCCTGCCAACCAGACCAGTTGATTTTCACACAAATAAAAATAACCTTGTTATTGAGGTGTACCTTTTCATTGGCTGGATTCCATTACATAATTAACATGTGTGGCAACAAAAGGCCTCAGTATGCTTCAAACAAAGTGCTTGTGGAATCGTCTAAGAGCCTCTGAAACCTGCCGTTCGTCAATTCTGGAAAATTTCCCCTTCACACAGCAACTGACATCACTTTTAACATATATACGTATAGAGCAACAACGTGAATGCCTTCCAGGAGAGACTCATTTGTGCTCTTTAGACACATTCTGCAATCTAGTTTGTTTGAAGCATCGTGACACCTAATAAGAACCCAGTCAATGGTGGTTTTGTTTGTTTATTTCAAACTTAATATTCCTCCCCCTCTTCCTCTCCTTCATCCCCAACGCTGTCGGTTCCCACCTCTTCATAATCCTTCTCCAGTGCAGCCATGTCCTCTCTGGCCTCTGAGAACTCTCCCTCTTCCATCCCCTCTCCCACGTACCAGTGGACGAAGGCCCTCTTGGCGTACATGAGGTCAAACTTGTGGTCGAGTCGAGCCCAGGCCTCTGCGATGGCGGTGGTGTTGCTCAGCATGCACACGGCCCTCTGCACCTTGGCCAGGTCTCCTCCAGGAACCACAGTGGGAGGCTGGTAGTTGATGCCCACCTTGAAGCCAGTGGGACACCAGTCCACAAACTGGATGGTGCGCTTGGTTTTGATGGTGGCGATGGCGGAGTTGACATCTTTGGGCACCACATCACCACGGTACAGGAGACAGCAGGCCATGTACTTGCCGTGGCGAGGGTCGCATTTCACCATCTGATTGGCTGGCTCGAAGCAGGCGTTGGTGATCTCTGCCACTGATAACTGCTCGTGATAGGCCTTCTCAGCTGAGATAACTGGGGCGTACGTTGCCAGTGGGAAGTGGATACGTGGGTAGGGCACCAGGTTGGTCTGGAACTCCGTCAGGTCCACGTTCAAGGCGCCGTCGAAGCGCAAGGAGGCTGTGATGGAGGAGACGATCTGTCCAATCAGCCTGTTGAGGTTGGTGTAAGTGGGACGCTCGATGTCCAGGTTCCTGCGGCAGATGTCATAGATGGCCTCGTTGTCCACCATGAAGGCGCAGTCAGAGTGCTCCAGGGTGGTGTGGGTGGTCAGGATGGCATTGTAGGGCTCCACCACAGCCGTGGACACCTGGGGGGCTGGATAGATGGCAAACTCCAGTTTGGACTTTTTGCCATAGTCAACAGAGAGACGCTCCATCAGCAGAGAGGTGAAGCCAGAGCCGGTTCCTCCTCCGAAGGAGTGGAAGATGAGGAATCCTTGGAGCCCTGTGCACTGGTCAGCCTGCAGGGAAACAATTAACCTTTACTCTGTCGCTGATCATACCTGAGCTCAAACACTGAAGTAATTGCAGGCAAACTCACCAGTTTACGAGTCCTGTCAAGAACCAGGTCGATGATCTCTTTGCCGATGGTGTAGTGGCCCCGAGCATAGTTGTTGGCTGCATCTTCCTTTCCAGTGATCAGCTGCTCAGGATGGAAGAGCTGGCGGTAAGTTCCTGTACGGACCTCATCTGTAAAATTGACAGTACAATCAAATGTCCGCAAACCAAATTCCTTGTTGAAAGAACCATTCCAATATTTCTGTATCCTAAATGTAACTGGAGCAAAGAAAACAATCATATGGAACTTGTGATCTTACCTATGACTGTTGGCTCCAAGTCCACAAAGACAGCCCTGGGAACATGTTTGCCAGCTCCAGTCTCACTGAAGAAGGTGTTGAAGGAGTCGTCTCCTCCTCCAATGGTCTTGTCACTGGGCATCTGACCGTCCGGCTGAATGCCATGTTCCAGGCAGTAGAGCTCCCAGCAGGCATTGCCTATCTGAGCTCCTGCTTGGCCAACATGGACAGATATACATTCACGCTGGAAGAACAAGAGGTTCAGATGTCAAGAACTTATTGCAGCTACTTGCACTCTTAAAGCTGGAGTAGACCGTTTATTTCAGAAGCATTTTCTCACACACAAAAAAAACAGTGCATGGTTGTCGCACAACTGCAATAAGCACAGCCAATCATTGGCTGGCCAACCTGCGTACACTCATGAATATATGTTTTGGGGAAGTGACTTTGGAGGGAGACCTGAAGGGAGGTGGTGGGATTTTTTTGGTTGGATACTTGCAAAATCCAGCAGTTGCTTGCTAGTTCTTCAATGGTGCCTAAAGTAAATAAACCAATAATCAGCTACCAGCGGATTGGATATTGGCTAGGAAAAACTAATCCATATGAAAAACAATGTAATTATTAAATAAATCAAATCAAAAACTTTATTACAGACTCAGGGTCCAAATCTTACCTACAACAATACATAAATAAATGCCCACAAACACACATTAGTGCATGAAAAACAACATAATAAATTATAGTTAGAAGAATTAAATTAAATTCAGACTTATTTTAAATCAGCTGTACCATTGTTTCTACATGTGGGATTGGTAGAGAGAAGTACTTAGCATTAGCTTGTTTGTCTAGACCACAAATACATGGTTCTGCTTTTAGTTACATTCATTTAGTCATGGCAGCCCACCAACTCCATTTTTAAATTTTTATTTCCAATTTTTATGTTACCTAACATAAGAATGAGTTCCATCTAGTGAGGTATACAACTTATAGATAAGAGATATTGGTATTGGGAGAAAAGGTTTGAACAGCGCATCCCAATCAGCAACATCAGATCAAGATCATGTGTTAAACCTAGTGCTAAGTAGGACTATCACAATAATTAACTTTTAGTTGAGGATTAATTATCATTCAAATGATTAACAATTTAATAGTTTTATTTATGTTCCTTTTAAGCCACACAGTGGTGCTCTTGTGTTTGAGTTTGCAATTTGGGCTAAATCCTTGTTAATTTATTTTCAAAAGTTAATATGCAACGGGGAAACACAAAGCTATGTTTCCATCCAAGCACAAAACTGTGCAGCTCCACTCTGCACTTGCAGCTACCCAGGGCCCCGAAAGTGACTGCGGTCAGCCCTGAAGGGACAAGCATGTATTTCTTTATTTTGCATTTCAGGTAACAAACAAATACAATATAATTGTAATCATTCATAGTACACCTGTATTAAACATTATATATTAAGAATAGAAGCAAGTATGACTATATTATAAAATGTAAATAGTATTAAATAGTTTTCAACTTCAAAACTTCCCTTGGTTGTGGAATTGAATGATTATGATAAATCAACGCGGTCAGTTCAAATAATCGCGATGAGGCACTCGTAATAACTGCGACAGGCGAAGTGCTAAGCTGTATTTTACTAGGAGAGGAGCTCTTACTCAATCCCATTGACACCTAGTAACTGAGCCAAGCTGGACTGATCCCGCCATTCAACATAGAGTTTGTCCAAAATTGGTTAGGAACATTTTAAAAAAGGCATGCATGTCTCTCTTTAGGTACGTTGGAGAAACTTTAAAATATCCCCTCCAAAACCAACTATTCAATAAAAGGATCCAACTGTACTACAGAATGACATGATACAATCACTTTGCAGCGAGAGTCTAACAGGTCTTCAACTTGCTTTTTACACCAAACAGAAAGAGTAGAATCGCTCATGTGTGGAACTTAACCATAAAATAAAGAGGTTCTTCTCACCATGATTTCGTTGTTTGAAGCGGCCCCTTGTTCACCTGAAAGGAGTGGCTGGGGATGTTGTGTCACGTACGAGTGCAGGGAGCTGCTTTATAGCGTAGCATCACTAGGCAACAGCATGGCATGTTGTGGTAACTGGAGGAGCTGGCGAAGCAAACACCATCTCCTTTGATGAAAGATGAGGAGGAGGAGCACAAAAAAGAAAACCAACTGGTATGCCCCCGTGCTCAGATCTGAGGAACAACAGCTGTTGTTACACAAATGAGTAACCAACAACAATGACCTGAGTGGCTCAATAACAGTTTTTTTCTCTCCTCCAATTTCACATTTTAGTTTTAAGGCACGTTAGTTGTTACTCTACAGTGAACAGGTAGGGGTTCAGACTTGCTCAAGGATGCTTAAACAGGCGGTTGTTTGCCTGCTGTTGAATCAAAATCATGACCTTTCAGACAAAAACAGGTTGTGTGCATGAAAAAAATACAATTCTAGTGGAGCACCATTTAAATGAAACTTGGTCCTGTTAACACGGCACATTTGGAGCCTCCATTTTCTTATCTTACAGAGGAAAGAAAGCAGACACCTCCCCAGGGTGACCTGAATAGGCTTTTGTTACAGATCACCGTTGCATCACCGCTTTGGTCGAGATTCATTTGCAATGCAAAGGTAGCCGGAGGCCACAGGATAACATTAGAGCACACTTCTCTCAAAGGCAGGTGGTATTTAAGATCAATGTTCTATTTGCCAGCAGGTTACAGTGCATCGATGTATGAGATAAGTAGTTCCACTTTTATTACCCCACGGAAAGAGAAAAGGAGCCTGGAAGTCACATTGAGTTGGCTGAATGCATGCAATAACTAAAGCTAGAGATTAACAAAGGATTATGATTTATCCAAAGGAATTTACCACAAGAGATTTAGACTAGTATTGTTTTTGACAGACTTTCACCAACTAGTGAATGGGTATGGGTTGATCAAAGTTCTTTAGATTTCAGAAGCACGGTTTCAATGAAAATACTTATTTTTTAACTGCCAAGCTACATTTGATATTATGTTTTTTTTTAGAACTTTACTTATCTGTATGTATATATACATGTTTTTATTTGACACTTGCTATTTAAACGTCTGTTTCCCATGCCAACAAAGCCCCATTGAATTGAATAGTGTTGTATGATAGTCTTGATGCTGTTCAGGAGCCCTTTCCTTCCTGACAACAGAACAAGTCTTGAGGAAATCCTTGTAAGTGATAGAAACTACTGTATTTATATCAACATACTCTATTGTTTGAGTTCAAATGGCTGTTAAATGTTTCACCTTTGCGTCTGAAGGTAACCCCGGAGACATAAAGACAAACTGCTTGCATCTGCCAAATAAGGATTTCCACAACACACTCCCACTTTTCCCTAGTTACCATTTTCTCATGCCTTGTTTGTGCCCTGATGTCAGCTGATCTGTGTGCATTTCACTCAGCGGCATGCTGGAGTACACATAGAGCTAGTCAGAGAAAGAGAGCGTCGGCACACAATGGGGAGGTCTTGATTCCAACATTCCTGCCAGGCCTCTCATTGTTACAAGACAGAGTTTGTGGCCTTTTCTAACCAATATTTGCCCAAATAAAACAGACAATCATTAGCAGTTTTGCTTTATTCTCCATGTAATATTGTGTAAAAACCAATACGTACTGGTACATTGTTGCAGTTTTGTGACAACTAAAATTGTGTCCTATAGTTTGAATACATTTAACACCTTGTGTTAAGCTCTTAGTACTCCTCCCCTTCCTCTCCTTCATCCCCAACGCTGTCGGTTCCCACCTCTTCATAATCCTTCTCCAGTGCAGCCATGTCCTCTCTGGCCTCTGAGAACTCTCCCTCTTCCATCCCCTCTCCCACGTACCAGTGGACGAAGGCCCTCTTGGCGTACATGAGGTCAAACTTGTGGTCGAGTCGAGCCCAGGCCTCTGCGATGGCGGTGGTGTTGCTCAGCATGCACACGGCCCTCTGCACCTTGGCCAGGTCTCCTCCAGGAACCACAGTGGGAGGCTGGTAGTTGATGCCCACCTTGAAGCCAGTGGGACACCAGTCTACAAACTGGATGGTGCGCTTGGTTTTAATGGTGGCGATCGCAGAATTCACCTCCTTGGGCACCACATCGCCACGGTACAGGAGACAGCAGGCCATGTACTTGCCGTGGCGAGGGTCGCATTTCACCATCTGATTGGCTGGCTCATAGCAGGCGTTGGTGATTTCAGCCACTGATAACTGCTCGTGATAGGCCTTCTCTGCTGAGATAACTGGGGCGTAGGTTGCCAGTGGGAAGTGGATACGTGGGTAGGGCACCAGATTGGTCTGGAACTCCGTCAGGTCCACATTCAAGGCGCCGTCGAAGCGCAAGGAGGCTGTGATGGAGGAGACGATCTGTCCAATCAGCCTGTTGAGGTTGGTGTAAGTGGGACGCTCGATGTCCAGGTTCCTGCGGCAGATGTCATAGATGGCCTCGTTGTCCACCATGAAGGCGCAGTCAGAGTGCTCCAGGGTGGTGTGGGTGGTCAGGATGGAGTTGTAGGGCTCCACCACGGCCGTGGACACCTGGGGGGCGGGGTAAACAGCAAACTCCAGTTTTGACTTTTTGCCGTAGTCGACAGAGAGACGCTCCATCAGCAGAGAGGTGAAGCCAGAGCCGGTTCCTCCTCCGAAGGAGTGGAAGATGAGGAATCCTTGGAGCCCTGTGCACTGGTCAGCCTGCAGGGAAACAATTAACCTTTACTCTGTCGCTGATCATACCTGAGCTCAAACACTGAAGTAATTGCAGGCAAACTCACCAGTTTACGAATCCTGTCAAGAACCAGGTCGATGATCTCTTTGCCGATGGTGTAGTGGCCCCGAGCATAGTTGTTGGCTGCATCTTCCTTTCCAGTGATCAGCTGCTCAGGATGGAAGAGCTGGCGGTAAGTTCCTGTACGGACCTCATCTGTAATCGGAAAGCCCCAAGGATACAACCAGTACTTCCCAAATCCTTTTCAACCTCCGCTACAAATCCGCATCAGAAAATAAACATCAGATCTTACCTATGACTGTTGGCTCCAAGTCCACAAAGACAGCCCTGGGAACATGTTTGCCAGCTCCAGTCTCACTGAAGAAGGTGTTGAAGGAGTCGTCTCCCCCTCCGATGGTCTTGTCACTGGGCATCTGACCGTCCGGCTGGATTCCATGCTCCAGGCAGTAGAGCTCCCAGCATGCATTGCCCATTTGGACACCAGCCTGACCAACATGAATAGAGAGGCATTCACGCTGGAAGAGCACAAAAAATGTAGTTAGAAAGGTCTTGAAATACCATTTCGGATTAAATCTGATTTGCAGAATGAGCTGCACTAACACATTTTTGAAATTACACTTTGTGGTTTATATTTGTACTTTGTGAGGTTTTTTTTGCTTGACAAGAAAGGAAAATTCTTGAAACTGCAGAAGCTTACCATGATTCTAAATTCCTGCTGCTGACATTGAGGATCTGCAGGGGAAATCTGTTGGCGGTGTGTCTGTTAGAATTTCTCCGGTACTTATAATTCCTCCCAACTCTATGGTAACAAGTGATGTTGTTTATTAACCAGGTTTAGAAGAGGTGAAAAGCCAATTATTCAGCTGTGGAACACATTTTGCAAACATGCTTCGCCACACATCAATAACTCTTCATTCTGCACCAAGATAATGTATAACCCTGACCCCCACACATGCCAGGCATGCAGAACTCTTTTCAGTCACAGGCAATGAAGCAAACGGCGCATTGTTTTAGTATTTGTGGAGTCCCCTGAGAGTAATGAACTCAAGGCTCTCTATGGAGATCTACGAGTCAGTCAAGGAAATTTAGTGAAATCCTAAAATATTTGTGTCCAGACTTAAGTAAATATTTAATAAATCCGTCTCTTAGCCTGTGAATAGATGAGTAATCTTTTCCAGCCATTTGGATGTGTGAGGTTTAGGGGAGTTACCTGAGTCTCTATAATGAATTAATTTTAACTAAGCAGCACTCAAAAGAACCAAAATAAGTAATACACAAATGCAAAGCCCTAAACAGATGTAGAATAATTATGCAAGTTACTGAATAAATGATGAGTGAGGAGCTCGTGGAGAATTGTCAATGTTTCCATAAATGTTATGGATGTCCAAATAATGTTGTGGATTATTGTTTGAAACAAGGGATTGACTTTTGTGTTCTTCTGCCATACTATCAAAACTTACAGTGCATTTTAAAGAAAAAAGTATCAATGTGTTTGAAATGTTTAGCTTATCAACTAAAAATCATAAATATTAAAATTTTTTGCTGAGCATTGTTTAATGTGCGCCACATTCTTTCTGATCAGATCTCCAGCCCAACACCTCCCATCCTCCCTCCATGAGGCCGGACTGGCCTGCTCTGTTGTGTTTTCCGCATGATTGGGTGTGCTGTGGTTACAGAAACATCGAAGGTCACACTGCTGTTGCTGGCATGAAGCACAGAATGTCAGCAGTAATGTAGATTTACAGAGCAACATGGCCTGAGGCCAGGCCGATAGACCGTTTGTCAGCATGGGACTGGTTTGGTCACTGATACTAAATACACAACCAAGTTCAGAATAACTAGGTTATGTCATACGAAGGTGAATGTTAAAACAGGTTTATATTAAACCCAGTTAGGTTTTTCTAAAGCAGCTTGTTTCCTAAATGGTTGTTAGTGCAGCTTTTTAAGAAATGATTATAGTTATTATAAAGTAAGTATCACTTGTATTTGTAACCAGTAAAAGTGAAAAGAAATGTTATGTTCTTACAAGGGCCTCTCATGAAAGTGGCCGCATTTGTTGAATGGACTGTGCTGACTTTAAATTAAATTCTGCAAAACTTTTGTGGGGACACAGCAGACATGCAAAGCTGAGAAACAGAATCCTGACCACAACGCCACCTGGTGTTGAACAAAGGAAAAACGGCAGGATTACAACAACATCTTAGTGAGGAATGATTCAAATGATTATTGATGATCCTTAATCATTACGGATGT